TCTTGAATGCTAACAAAAACTGAGGACTGATGGATGTGGGGGGGAGGGGAGATGGGCATGGAGGAGGGCACTTGTGGGGATGAGCACTGGGTGTTATATGGAAACCAACTTGACAAGAAACTATTTGTAAAAAAAAAAAAAAGAAAAGAAAAGAAAAAGAAAATCCATTGACCATAAAAAATAAATAAACAAATAAATAAATAAATTTATCTGTTTGTCTAACAAACAAAAAAAGCCCATCTTCTTACAATTGGTTTGGTCTAATCAGGATCCAAATGGTGTCCCCCATACATGCCTATTGGACTTCTTTCACTTTTTGCAACAGTTCTTCCTGTTCCCCTGACATTCTGACTCCGGGTTTGGATGACTGATTCCTCCCAGCCTCAGTTAATCCAGCTCCTGTGTGCTGTGTATTTCCTGTATCATATCTGGAGGCTACCTGGACCCAGGCTCAGTGGCTTCTGGAGGAGATAAGAGACTTCACGGATGGTTGTGTGTGCTTCTTCCTTCTCCACAACAGCAGTGCCCACATGTCTGGTGGTTCTCCTTTCCGTGACTGAGCAATGGGTCCAGGCGTCCTCGGTCTGATCCGCCCCTCACCAAGCTCTCCCCAGCGTCCTTCACAGGCCCTCTCTGAGGTGCGCCCCGCTACGATCTCCACAGAGGTCACCGCATCTGCCTACTTCATGGTATCACGTTCTGAGAACCTGAAGCTGCCAGCGCCACCAAGGCTTGGCCTGCACCTGGGTCAACAGACTCCTTCCATTCAATGTCCTGAAACACTCCCACAGGGCCTTTCAGAACTCCTGGTCAGACACCAGCATCTCCTTTGAGGGTTCCCTTTTACTTACTGCATTTAAACTCTGGCTCAACTGAGGGCACTGCTTGACCGGCCGCCCTTAATTTCATGTCATCAGACACCGCTCACTTCCCCTCCAAGTGGCAGGCACCGAAGCCATGCCCTCTCTGGCCCACTTCCCTTCTCTCCCTGAAGACTGAAGCAGGGCTCTTACCGATACTCTAAAACTAGGCCTGTCCTAACACAGATGGCCCTGCCAGGCCCTAACCTCAATTCCTTGGCCTTCCAGCCTTCAACGCTTTTGTCTGCTACTCTTCTGTGGCCTCTCCCACCCGTGGCTGCACCTCAGATATGTCCAAGGGCAACCCTCCACGAGTATGACCTTAAACATCGCTTTCTCTGGCCTCGTCTGTCTTTCCAACTACTGCACTCTAGCATCCTGACTCCAACAATTCTTTGGTCCCAAGGACCTACCACTTTTTCACTGACAAATCTAGAATCCCATGACGTCACATACTGTGGTTACACAGGTTAAAATCTCACCCAAAGATGATGAAGTTGATCAGCCTTAAAACTACTAAGGAGCGCACAAGACACGGAAGCCTCTAAGAGAACTACAGGTAGCTCCACTCACACATTAGATGACCCCTTACTGTTCCCAGGAGAAAAAAATGAGGACAAGGATTGTGTGGCTGTGTGGTTACTCTAGCGGTAGGATGGCCACCTCCTCGTACTCATGGCCTGCCAACACTCAAAGCACGATGTGCAGTGACACAGAAAATGAAGGAAAGCTGAAAACCAAAGTCAAGAGTTCTACCAATTCAAGTCTTGGTTTCCCAAATTCAAGTCCAGAGGTTCCTGTAACATATCAACTGGGACTGAGATCCCTGCAGAACACAGGGGCAAGAAAGGCATCTTCTCTTGGAAACTAGCTTGATACCCACATTACAGTTTCCTCTGGGGCATTTACAAAAGTCTTTCTGTCCAAGGCAACACAGACCCAAAGGCTATGAAAACTAAAAACTTCAACGGAAATGTAGGGTGTGTGATAACTTAATCCAATTCAAAAAACCCACATAAGAGATGCTCTTGCTTTGATTACTCATGGTTGAAAACTGTGTCCATCTGATGTGGTTGTAAAACACCTTCCTGGGAAACTATACTTTGAGGAGACACTGATCTGTGCAACGCTTTCAAGGTCGAAAAGTAACCCCCCAGAAATCAAGGTAGAACTCTGAATGGGCCTGGTGTACTGTGTGTATAAACAACTAAAAATTAGAAAATCTGCCAAGCTTTTGAAAACGAAAAGATTTTAATGTCCACCTTTGGAGCCCATGACATTTGAGATGTCCTTACAATGAATTTTTTTTTTTTTTTACGAGCTTTAGAACTTTTTTTTTCAACTCTTCATATGCCAAGCCAAAAGGCTAATGAGATCACAGCCACAAAACAGGATACTACCTAGAAGCAGCAAGGTGCTCACACTGAATCAACAGAACATTCTAGAAAAGGAGAGACCATCTCAAACAACCCTTAGTACCAAATCAAAATGTTTTCCAACCTCTTGAGTCCATCTTCATCAAGCAGAGATAAAGCTGAAGAAACCTGATGTCAGCACAGAGATCCAGGTTTCCTACTTGGTCAGACAGAGGCAAGCAGCTGCCACACGGTTGCTTTCTCTTCACTGCAAGGCCATGCTCAAACACTGGAGCACCTGGGCCCGTGCAAGTTCTGGTCCCAAATTGCTTTACCAAAGGAAGAATGACAGCTAGAGCAGCAGCACAGGAGATAGCTGTGATTTTGTGCTTCAGAGGAATTATCCAACTTTCTCACGGTAAACTTTTAGGAATAACTTACGTTATTTGAAAGGATTAAATATCAACAAAATGGGACAGGAAACCAGATATGTGTACAATTGACAAAGTTATGTGCCAGCCTTTGAATCAAGACCCAAACCTCATCCTTCCAGATGGAAAGTAACTGTACACCCAGTGTTCCATGGGCACTTAAAATGGGTGAAAAACTCAAAATTCAACTGCAACCAAAGTCAGCAAGTGGCCCTAGAACTCTGCCTAAGAAGAGACTCCTTCTTCTAAGCCTTCTGGTGAGAAAGACAGGAGTGAGGACATACAGTTTCAGACAACTTTGCCAGGAGTATTACCAGTGGTTACTAGTCAAGTCACAGCCTGTGGCTCAGAATCCAAACAGGGAAACAGCCTAATAGCAAGACAGTTATTAGAAAAATGCTCCTCAAATTAGAACCTTCCTTTTTTCTTTTTAAGTAGGTTCCACGTCCACTGCAAAGCCAAACTTGGGGCCTGAACTCACAACCCTGATGCTTAACCAACTGAGCCACCCTGATGCCCCCTAGAATCTCCCTAGAGTCCCAAATTTTGGTATTTTATAAGCCACTTCCTCCGAGAAGCAATGCAAATGAGAAGGAATTGTCCCTGTATCTTGCTGACACAATTTCTGCCCAAGAGAAATTTATTCCAAACTTTGTAATTGCATTAGATTCAACAAAAGATAGCACTGAGGAGCTTGGGCCCTTCAAATACACCTTGTCAGAGTGTGACACCAAACACTACATAGGGAGGATCCTGAAGATAAAACCCTCAAAGGTGTATAGATCTGTTAAGTCTGTCTCTGCTTTCCCTTTGCTTAGCTGTAGACTATTTTAGAGGGGTTACTGTTGTATTTCACTGAAATTACATTTCTATTTTTTAACATCAGGGAGATCCTATGAACATAATAAATGCGATCTAAACATTTTAAAAGCTGAGTTGACCATATCCAATAGCCCACCAACCTCTAAACAAGCAGGTGCAAGCTTCAGTTTAAGGGAAACTAAGTGTATTTACAGCAATTGTTTCTGATGCGAGAGCTAAAATAGACTTTTCTAATACAAAGTATATGGTAAAAAGTTAAAAACTAATTTCTTTAGACTTTTGTGCTTTGTTGCAACATAAGCTTTTATCTCACTCTCTTACTCCTAAAACCTGCTTCCAGCCACACTCCTTCCCAACAGTTAGTAGCAACTCCAAAAGTCTCTCAGTTGCTTGGGTCACAAACCCTGAAGTCATCCCTCACTGTCTGTCACACGCCTCATACATACTCCCTTAGCACAGTCAGTTTGCTCCACTTTGTGTTACACCCAGAATCCCACGGCTCTCTCCAGGTCCACTGCTACCTACCATCCTAGACAAAGCCATCACTGTCGCTCATGTGGGCTACCCTGTAACCACCCAAAGGTCTCCCACCCTCGCTTCCTACTGAGAACTCCAGGGAGGCCAGAGAGATGGAGATACTTCCAAAACCCAAGGAAGACCATATCCTTCCTCTGCTCAAAACCCTCTGACAGCTGGACATTATCGGATCTCATCTTGCTCAGTTACAGGAGCCTCTGGTTTCTGGAACTTTCAGGCACACTTCTGCCATAAGGCCCTCACCCCTGCTGTGCATGGAAAACCCTTCTCTCCAAATATGCACGTGACTCACATTCTTCAAGTATTTGCTCAAATGTAGCTGCTCAGTGTGGCCTGTTTGACAATGGCAGACGCCTACCTCCCAGGCGGTCTCTTTTTTTCTGCATCCTTTCTCTCCACAGCGTTCACCACCTACTCATACATTGTTTTTTTAATTTATTCGTTTAATGTTTTCCTTTCAAAATGTAAACTACTTGAAGGTAGTAATTTTTTTGGTTTTGTTTACCTCTGTATCCCTAGCCACTCAAATATTTGATGAATGAACGAACAGGCCAAACAGCTGAGTGTGAAACAGCTTATGAACTGGGATGTCTGAACTCAAGGGTATCAGAGATGAAGAGTAAGTGCATCACAAATGAGCATCAATGCACACCTCACAGTCGTTAACAGTTGCAGTGAATGATTACATCAGCAGCCAAATGAATTCTCTTAGAAGGGAAACTCCCTGGGGCGCCTGGGTGGCTTAGTCGGTTAAGCGTCCGACTTTCGCTTAGGTCATGATCTCGCGGTTCGTGGGTTCGAGCCCCGCGTCGGGCTCTGTGCTGACTGCCAGCTCAGAGCCTGGAGCCTGTTTCAGTCTGTGACTCCCTCTCTCTCTGACCCTCCCCTGCTCACGCTGTCTGTCTCTCTCTCTCCCTCCTAGAAATAAAAATAAAACATTAAAAAAAAAAATTAAAAAAAAAAAAAAAAAAAAAAAAAAAGAAGGGAAACTCCCTTCTACAGAAACCGTGGCCCTACGATCAAATGATTTCAGACAGGTCTCTGGCATGTACCAACAAAGCAAAAACAATCTGCCCCAGTCTGTCCTAAGTCTCTTTACACTTAAGTACAATGAATGTTCATTATGCTATAACATTTATGATGTCTCAAAAAACATACTGCAGGAGAAAAAATATATATAAAAATAAAATTGTACAAAGTTCTTCACTAAAATAGTTGCTTAAATAAATCCTGTCAATACCACACAGAGGCAGTGACTGGATCTAGGTAGGAGAGCTTAGAGCTTTTTACATAATTAGATGAGAACACGTGAATCCGTCTTCATGACACTGTCATGATAGCCTCAGTTAAAATCAGCAGCAAGTCTTCCCAGACGCAGCTAACAGCTCAGTGTGGGCGAGGAAAGTGACCGACAGACGCAGCTAACAGCTCAGTGTGGGCGAGGAAAGTGACCGATGGTAAATTACTCTGTGTTGTGGCGTTCTGATTCTATTTGCCCTTTTTCATCCTGGCTGTCTTCTCTTTTCTTTTTTTCACATGTTTCGGAATTTTGTTTTTTCTCTTCTCTCTTTGGGCTTCCTTGACCATCTTTTTTCTTTCCTGTAAAAAACAAAAACAAAACTAAAAGAACCTGCAGACTTCATTCGTTCAAGGTATTAACTTTACTATTACAACTAAATAAGAAAATATATGTGAAAGGACAAAAGTGAATATAACAAGATGAAAATGATTATGATTTGGTGGTGAAATTTGGTTCTAAATTTGTCTTTGGAGTTTCTTAACAGAAATCTGCAGGGTGCTTGGGTAGCTCAGATGGTTAAGTGTCCAACTCTTGATCTTGGCTCAGGTCATGATCTCTTGGATTCCTGGGTTCAGGGCCCCCCATCGAGCTCGGCTCTGACAGTGCAGAGCCTGCTTGGGATTCTCTCTCTCTCTCTCTCTCTCTCTCTCTCGGGATTCTCTCTCTCTCTCTCTCTCAAAAATAAACAAACATTAAAAAAAAAAAAAAAAGGGAAAAGAAAAGAAACTTGAAGACTGCTGGGTGCACCTGGATGGGTCAGTCAATTAAGTGTCTGACTCCTAATTTTGGCTCAGGTCATGATTTCTGGATCCTGATATCTACACCCAGTATGGAGCCTGCATAAGATTCTCCCTCTCCCCCACACCCTCTCTCTAAAAAAAAAAAAAAAAAAAAAAGAAAGAAAGAAAGAAAAGAAATTTGAAGATTGCCAAACAGAAATATCTGGGAGGATTATTAAATGTTTACAACAACTATTCTTCACAAGTTTCATACTCTAAGAGAAATAAAGGTTGGAAAGTGACAAAGTATTTCCAGTAGACAGAAAATTCTGTGCACTTGAGCTGGATAGAAGTCTCAGAAGTCTTACGACCCACAGGTTGTAAGGTTTAAAGGATCAAGCTAAGAATGAAGAGTAACATTTACACAGCAGTCATGTATCATTCAGTCAGGAGCATCTCCTGTCCAGGGCTAGGAGTGGAATAAGTGTTCTAACTGTGGCAACACCTGGCTGGGCCGCAAATCCCCCATGAAATGGTGTTTCAGTATTTCATCATGGGGCAACTCCAACATCATTTGTATTTCAAGTGAATCACAATCATTTCTAGTCAATGAATTCCATGTGTCTTCTCTCTAGGCAGTGCCCAGGGACCTCTTAATATGAGCCCCATCTCTAAACAGTGTGACTTCCAAAGGCAAAGTTCACACTCAGGAACTGGATCTACAACTAGAAGTACTTATTGATCAACACTATTTTCTGCCATCTTAACCTAGATATGTGAGCCAAGAGAAATGAGGATGGCTTTTCTGCCACACTGATGAATAAGGGAATTCGAGTTCTCGGCTAACCTTTTTATCAACTTCAAGGCCAGCAGTGGGTTTCCTGGAGCAGGCCTGGTCTCCCTGCTCTTCAGAGTCTGTATCAGAACACTCAGAGCTTCCAGCATCATCTGAATCAGAACAAGCCTTTTCCTTAACTTGATCTTCTAGAAGCGCAGGGACCTTGAAAATATTACAAAACCATATCATTCTAAACCACTTAGTTATCTACTGTTAAATGTGTTAATACCAGAATTCAGATTTTTTAGCCTCGCAAATATACGTTGAAAAACAACATCCTGTACTGAATCATTGAAAACAATTATCAGGGTGGAAGCTAGAAATAGCCCATCTTGTGAGGCTCAAGAGCATACCCAAATGAAGGAACTGGGGCTTTACTGGGTGACCTAGATCAACAACAGAACTGAGCTGGAATTTGGAAGGATGTGAAATACAGATGGAATTAAGAATTAAAAGATTGATTTGAATAATCTCACAGCTGTTTTCCTACGAATCGGATTTCAAGCAACTTTTACCCTTAATCAAAAGGGAAAACAATATTTAAACAAGAGAGATTTTCTTTTCTGAAGTTCAGAAGTTTTTAGCGGGAAGCATTTTTAAAGGACAAGAGGTTTTCTTTTTATATAAAAAAAAGTAATCTTTAAAAGGCAATTGTAGGGGCGCCTGGGTGGCTTAGTCGGTAAAGCGTCCGACTTTCGCTTAGGTCATGATCTCGCGGTGCGTGGGTTCGAGCCCCGTGTCGGGCTCTCCGCTGACTGCCAGCTCAGAGCCTGGAGCCTGTTTCGGTCTGTGACTCCCTCTCTCTCTGACCCTCCCCTGCTCACGCTGTCTCTCTCTCTCCTAGAAATAAATAAAACATTAAAAAAAAAAAAAGGCAATTGTATAAAAAAAGGCTTTCTAGCCAGTTTTAACAAAATCTTCCTGGCCTGGAATTCACTTGCTATATAAAACACATAATGAATATGAGAGTTTTCCTAATTTGGTTCTTCCAAAAAGAAATACAATACATTCTCAAAAAGCAAACTATGATCCTTCACATTTAAGCCTTTAATTAAGAACATTCAAATAACAAGAACTGCCTTTACCATTGCTTAATTAGAATTACTCTGCACCAATCTGAAATGCAAAACAAAATAAAACAAGACTTTTCCAAGAAGAAAACCATTATAGGAATCCACCAGGGAAAGACTGCTAGACTCATGAAGAAATTGCTCTTCAACAGGTTATAGAGCAGGAGACCAGATTCCATTGTGTTTGGTTTTTTTTTTTAAAGCTCACTATAAGAACATCAAGAAACACACGGTTATCATCAATAATTTCACAAATGAAGACCAGGATATAAAAGTATCACCTCAGCAACAACATTAGAATAATTCAGAGGCAGAATGAGAAAATTTCCAAAATTTTAGTCTTACAGTTAAAAGAATGAACAGAAAAAGGGCATTTCTGAAAATGCCCGTGAACTTGGAAAGGATCTATACTAATAAAATATCACTGTTAATTTAATTCTAGTATACATTAAATTTTATATCCTTCAAAGGAGTATTTATGCAAATGAATAGCAGCAGCAACACATGTTCTCATACCTTCTGAACTCCTGACAAATCTTTCTTCAATCCTGTAACGGTTTGGTACAGAATCTTGTAACCGAAAAGACAAAAAGAAGAGTCAACATAAACCTAGGATGTGAAAAACACCCCCTGTAATATTACAGAACACTGTGAACTAAAAGGTACCTTCTGTGACTATTAAAAGGAGCCTAAAATTGATCTCCTTTTAACACACAGTTTTTACTCTTGGTGGGAATTATTCTTGCCCACCAAGGTCAGAGGCATTAACAAACTCTGGCCCACAACCTACCCACAGCCTGATGGTTTTTACAAATGAAACTGCCACCAATCTGATGAAAGGAAACTCTAACTCTGAATCTCAATGAAATGAAATGTATTCTCTTCTCCCAAATAACCCCATTCTTCTCTCATTAATAGGAATCTATTATTATTAAAGAGCTTTTAATTTCACCAATAAATACTTCTAGAAATTTTTTCTTTCTTGTTACATAATGACCTACATAATAGCCACCATTATGCTTCTTGGCCTACAAAGTCAAAAATATTTACTATCTGGCCTTTTCACAGAAAAAAATACTCCAGACCTTAAAATACATAATGGACCCACTATAATAATGATTTATAGCCTAGACTCCTATAAATATCTTCTGTTTTCTACAACTATAGTCTATTGGACTTAAATGTGTCATTTGCTTTCACAAATACCAGTGAACTCCCTTTACATCCAATATACAGAGGACCTGTTAATGCAAAGGAAATTAGCCATCTCACTAGATTAGAAGTCAACAGTCAAGAGGCAGGTTATGTGACAGTAGCTTCCTCTATAAATTTGCTTGCTATATACAAACCAAGCTACTTACATTGTCTTGTTGGGCATTCATGGCCATATCCTCTTCCTTCAATTTCATCATTATATCCATATCCCTCTCATAATTTTTTACTTCGTTCAAGGTTCTAGGAATATATGCTCGCTTAAACACCTAACACACAGAGGAAAGTAAGACCAAAAGTGTTTTTCACATGCTTCTCTCATTCACAGAGCATTCCACATCTGTCACATCATAGAGGAATCTGTCGCCCTCTACAACACTGATTCTCAGCCAGGCTTTCCACACACACTGGGGTTTGCATTTGCTTTGTGGCGTGTCAAAAGGAATTTGTTACCAACAATAAAATACAAAATGATTTGAAGTTACCCTTAGAATAACACTTTTTTTCCTTCACTTGCATTCTCCAAAGCTTTTCTGAGTGGGAAAGGAAGGAATGGAGTTGCAGTTAGCAAGTGCTGTGACTAGCCCCATGTTCTTACATAGAAATATTATGTATCCCATGCTATGGTGAAAAGGGTTCAGAACTGGTGATAGATATAGGGTGCCTTATATTCATCCATCACACTAACAGCTGTGAAAACGTTTGTTAAAAAGTCTACTATGGATCACACTCCCAAAAAACCCACTGATCCCCAAGGTTAGAACAATTTTCTTTTTTTATCATACGTAAATATTTAAAGTCTACAATATTACTGAAATCAACACTTAAGTCATTTAAAATTCACATTCATGAACTGAAACAGGCTTTTCCTTCTTGAATCAAATGTTTCAATAGCTTCTTTAAAAACGTGCTCTAGCTCAAGTATCATACTCCTCGATTTCAAACTATACTACAAAGCTATTATAACCAAAACAGTATAGCACTAGCACAAAAACAGATACACAGATCAATGAAACAGAATAAAGAGGTCAGAAATAAACCCATGCATATATGGTCAATGAATTTACAACAAAGGAGGTAAGAACACAAAATGAGGAAAAGATAGTCTCTTCAACAAATGGTGCTGGGAAAACTGGACAGCCACATGCAAAAAGAACGAAACTGGACCGCTTTCTTACACCGTACACAAATATAAACTCACAATAGAGTCAAGACCTAAATGTAAGACCCAAAACTATAAAACTCCTGAAAGAAAATAAAGGCAGTAAAGTTAAACAACCGTGTTGGCAATATTTTTTGGATTTCTCGCCTCAGACAAGGGCAACAAAAGCAAAAATATGCAATGGGAATGCATCAAATTTAAAAAGCTTTTTCACAGCAAACAAAGCCATCAATAAAATGGAATGGCAGTCTACTGAATGAGAGAAGATATTTACAAATGATGCATCTGATAAGGGGTTAATATCTAAAATATATAAAGAACTCCTACAAATCACCAACAAAAAAAGCAATCTGATTAAAAAAATGGGCAGAGGACCCGAATAGAGATTTTTCTAAAGACATACAGATGGCCAACATACCCATGAAAAGATGCTCAGCGTCACTTATCATCAGGGAGATACAAATCTAAACCATAATGAGGTATCACCTCACACCAGTCAGAATGGCTAGTCAAAAAGAAATCAGTATTGGCAAGGGTGAGAAAAGAGAACCCCCATGCACTGCTGATGGGAATGCAAACTGGTGCAGCCACTATAGAAAACTATATGGAGGTTCCTCAAAAAATTAAAATCAGAACTACAACAATTCTTCTGGGCATTTATCCAAAGAAAATAAAAATACTAATTTGAAGCAATACGTGTACTTTATGTTCACTGAAGCATTACTTACAAAAGCCAAGATAAGGAAATAACTTAAGTGTCCATTGATAAAGAAAATGGAGTATATGTATGTATGTGTACACACACACACACACACACACACACACAAAATATTAGTAAAAACAGAATGAAACCTTGCCATTTGTGATAACACGGACAGACCTCAAGGATATTATATTAAGTAAAATATAAGAGAAAGACAAATACCATAGAACTTCACCTATATGCAGACGCTAAAAAAACAAAATAAACAAAACAGAAACTAACTCACAAATACAGAGCACAAGCTTGTGGTTGCCAGATGGGAAGTGGATGGGGGACAGAACGAAATAGGTGAAGGTGATTAAGATGCACAAACTTCTAGTTTTAAAATTAAGTCACAGACATATAAAATACAGCATAGGAAATATGGTCAATCATATTGCAATAACTATGTATGGTGACAGATGGTAACTAGACTTATTGTGGTGACCACCTAGTAATGCGTATAAATGTTGAATCACTGTGCTGTACACCTGAAAATAATATAATATTGCATAGCAGTCATTCTTCAAATAAATATGTAAAGTTCTCCATCTAGGACAATGGGCTAACAGGCTGCTGAGTGGAATGATGTAAAGAAATGTATTTATACAATCTGGCTCAGTTAAATTATGTATAAGGAAATAGTCATTTGAAAACTGCTTCTCTCCTAAAATCAAGTTCATGACCTAGCATGCCCTTAAAACAAAAACAAAACTGAAAGTGTTTCCTAAGCCTGAGAGTGGATCATAAATCTTACCTCTTCATCCACATGATCTTGGTTGGACCTTTCTTCCTTGGTCCTTTGAGATGCTATTTCCATGGCCTTGGAAAGAAATCAAAAGTTACTTCTCTTTATACTCACCTACAGAAGATGCATCCATTTCTCAATTTTAGTATAGACCTGCTCTAATCTCTACCAGAATCGACTCTACACTTCCGAAAAGACTTAGTGGCCTCCAGTGATAAAGGTTAGCTCTCTGTCAGGCCTCTCCAAAAAGGCTGCCATAAGCTCACAAGTTAACAGAATAAATCAAACTCATCTAGCCTCAGGGGATTCCCAGCCCTTTCCTTAAGACTAAAACTACTTTTCCTCATTTTAAAATGATTAGCAAAAATATTTACTAACAGAAAACCGAGACCCAAAGAATGAAAGAACTATTCTTTAATTCTTGAATAGTCAGTGAAGGAAATGAGAAAGGAAAGGTGGACTGTCCTCTCATTTTGAGTATGTGTCTCTAATGCCACGGAAGCATCAGCCACCAAAGAAAGCTCTTTGAACAAACGATGACTGAAACTAAGGTGACAAATTTTACAAGAGTCTTCTGGCTTGTAAAACTAGAGATTCGTTCTCTACTTAGAATATACAGAGAAAAGGAAAGAACTGTGCTACTAGGGTTTTTAAGTTCAGACACTAAAATTAGTGCTTAAGAGTTTAGAGATAAAAATGATATGTATTTATGCAATTAATATATGTAATTGCTTAGTATACGTCAGTACTGAGGTCCAGACAATACAAGAATAGAACTCCCGTCCCTTAACAGTTTGCTCACGGTCTAGGAAAGGGAGACAACATTAAAAAGAACTTAATAACAGAATGCGGTATGACTACTTCTATTATAGGCTCGCATAATATGGGAAATATACCCATGGAAACAATGATTTCCGCCTGATTCGTCAAGAAAGCTTCCTGAACTGAGCTCTAATATTCATTAGGCAGAGCAAAATGTGCAATGGGAAGGCATTCCAAGGAAAGGGGAGAATACGAAAAGGTAAGATAAAACCTGGAAAACTGTTTCAGGGTGTATATGCCATGTACTCAGTGCTCTAAGCTTCAGAGGCAACAAAAGTAAAAACAGATAAACCGACACCAAAATGAAAAGGGTGCGACCAAGAGAGGGAAGTGGCAGCACAAAGAATGGGAGAAAGTATCTATAAATCACAGATCTGATAAGCAGTTAATATTCAGAATATACAAAGAACCCCTGTAACTCAATAACAAAAAACAATCTAACTTAACAATGGGCAAAAGAGTGTAGACATTTCTCCAAAGATATCTAAATGGCCAACAAGCACGTGAAAAGACAGATGCTCAACATCACTAATCATCAGGGAAATGCGAATTGACAACTATGAGACACCACCTCACATCCATCGGGATAGCTGTTCCAAAAACAGGAAAACACCAACACAAAAACAAAACCAGAAAATGGTGAGGATGTGAGTATGTGGAGAAACTGAACCCTTGCATAGTGCTGTACGGCAATGGAAAATGGTAAAACCACTAAGGAAAATGGTATGGTAGTTGCTTAAAAAATTAAAAGCAGAATTACCATATAATGCAGCCATTCCACTTTTGTGTATATGCCCAAAAGAAATAAAAGCAGGATCCTGAAGAGCTATTTGTGTACCTGTGTTCATGACAGCATTATTCACAACGGCCAAAAGGTAGAAGCAATTCAAGTGTCCATCTACCCACGAATGGATAAACAAAATGTGCTGTACGCCATTAATGAATCTTGAGAACATTACACTAAGGGAAGCAAGTCAGCCAGAAACAGAAACAGTTTGATTCCACTTATGTGAGGTACCCAGGGTAGACAACATCACAGACAGAAAGCAGGATGGGCTGTGGGGAGGGAGGAAAGAGGAGTTAATGTTAAATGGGCACAGTTTCTGTTTTGCACAATGAAAACAGTTCTGAGATGGACAGTGGAGATGGTGGCACAAGACTGTATATGCACTTAATGCCACTGACGTGCAAACTTAAAAATGGTTACAGTGATAAGTTTTATGCTATGTGCATTTTACCACACTTGAAAAAATTGTAGGATTCAGAAAGACCTCTGAGAAACAAGGGAAAGACTGGGGCGCCTGGGTGGCTTAGTCGGTTAAGCGTCCGACTTTCGCTTAGGTCATGATCTCACGGTTCGTGGGTTCGAGCCCCGCGTCGGGCTCTGTGCTGACTGCCAGCTCAGAGCCTGGAGCCTGTTTCAGTCTGTGACTCCCTCTCTCTCTGACCCTCCCCTGCTCATGCTGTCTCTCTCTCTCTGTCTCTTAGAAATAAATAAAACATTAAAAAAAAAAAAAAAAAAAAGAAACAAGGGAAAGACCAAAAGTGCACAAGTTTCTTACTAAACTTTCACAAACTTTGGTGATCTATGTAATCTTGCCCAATGCTTCATGTCAAGAAACCTGGCTTTCTCTGGGGTACCTGGGTGGCTCGAACAGTTAAGCACCGGACTTCAGCTCAGGTCATAATCTCACAGTTCATGGGTTTGAGCCCCACGTCAGGTTCTGTACTGACAGCTCAGAGACTGGAGCCTGCTTCAGATTCTATGTCTCCCTCTCTCTCTGTTCCTCCCTCATTCTTACTCAGACTCTCTCTCAAAAATAAATAAACAATAAAAAAAAAAATTAAAAAGAAAAGAAACCTGGTTTTCTTGCTGGTTTTTTTTTTTTTTTTTTTTAACTGTATTTTTGATTCCCTACATGTGAAATCAGAAGGAAAAGGTCTCAGGAGCTGTCAAAATGAACGATTTGAGCAATTTGAGTCAATTTGAGTCTCTAAATAAATGGCCATTTTCTGTCCTTTCCTTTCCTTACCCTGTCTCACCTTTGAGAGATAAGCATCCATGTTCTCATGTGTAATGGATGGGTCTGTGACAAATTCAAAGAGTTCCCGCACAGTCATCACAGCAACGTTGTGCTTCAAAAAGAAATCTGTTGGAAGAAAAATAATGATAGCTTTATGAAAGAAAAGATTTATTCCAATTTACACAGAAACAAAGAGATGAATAAAAATATACCCTCTCCCAGCAAACAATAATCACTGCATCAAATGATTTAGGGCCATATCAACAGCTTAACAGTGCAGAACCACTATACACAAGCAAGCTGGCTGGAAATTCCAGTTCCAACTCACCGTTGACATTGGCACAGTCTTTTCTCAAGAACTCCAAGGCATGTGGGTGGTCATGCTCCACAGATTGAGAAACATCAATGATGTACACACCTCCACTGTGGTACCTGTGGGCCAGACACTCAGGGACATTACTACTTTCCTACATTGCGTGTTTACAAAAATTCTACTTTAAGAGCAAGGGAAATAATCAATAAAATGAACAAGGTGGGTAAGGATAAGAGGCCACTTGGACTAATAAGAAATGAAAACCAAGAAAATTTCCGAAGTCCTAGAAGCCTGTTAATGATCAGATGGTCAATTCTGTGACTAAGGTCACCAAAGGCAGAGAACACATCCTCTACTATGACCACATGGAAGCCAACTTTAAAACTTGAAAAAATTTTTTTAATTTTTTAAATGTTTTTTATTTACTTCTGAGAGAGAGAGAGACAGCGTGAGCAGGGAAGGGTCAGAGAGAGAGGGAGACACAGAATCTGAAGCAGGTTCCAGGCTTTGAGCTGTCAGCACAGAGCCCGATATGGGGCTCAAACCCACAAACCGTGAGATCATGACCTGAGCCAAAGTCGGACGCTTAACCGACTGAGCCACCCAGGCACCCCAAAACTTGAAAATTTAAAAATGACTTCTTGGATTGGGATTTCATTTTTATAAAGGACATGAAACACCGTGCAGGTGGTTCCTAAAGGACAAAATGCACTCACAGCATGTTAAATTCACTGAGATCCGCATGGACAAGTCTGGCATCTTGATACATTCTTCTCATATATTGGATGACCTGCAGATACAACTCCCGAGCCTTGGACTCTGATAACTGGACGTTTTTCAACAGTGGCGCTGGCCTTGAGTAAAGATAAAATGAACTAAGATGAAATGCCCCAGAACAAGTTGTCCTGCTTTATACTACACTGCTACACGCACTTCTTTTCGACAACTTATCACTGAACAATTTGGCTCATGGCAGATGTACTATTCCAAAAAGTTGTCAAGAAACAGGTGTTCTCACAGCTTACTGTACAAAACATTTCTCAGAAACAGGGTGAACTTTGTTATTCTGAAGCATTCTGGGATGAAAAAGATAGAACAAATGAACTCTATGCACTAATACAGTGGAAAATGCATATGAAGCATTTCAAGATGAAATGAGCTATTTAAATGGGAAATACTCATACACTGGATACTTCAAAGCACTCAGAAGTACAATTCTAAGCATGTAATTATTAGGCCTCCCATGTTACTCACATGTCATCTTTACCAATAAAACCCATGACAAGAACATGACTTCTCAGCAGGACAGGTTCTGGGCATGGGATCTGTGCGGTGTTTAGCCTGTGATATTCAAACAGGTAAAAGGACAAGTGAGAAGGTGACACAGCATCTAAAACAAGTTACAATGGCTACAGAAGATTAATATCACTATTGGGAAACAGCACCAACATGTCTCAACTGTATTACTGTTCTTCATAAACTCTAAGACCCCAGTGATTTTTAAGTGGCAGCAGGAGGCATGACAGAGAATGACACAACGTGGGCAACTCAACTACTGTTCAGAACCTCTAACAGTTCAATTCCAGAGGTGTTAACCTGTGAAATGGGCATCTCAGAACTGATGAGATACAGCAGATTATGTCTTTTGAGCTGATTAAACAATAAAAACAGTTGCACCCAGGGTGCCTAGCTGGCTCAGTTGGTAGAGCACACAAATTTTTTTTTTAGTCCATTTATTTATTTATTTATTTACAAATAGTTTGTCAAGTTGGTTTCCATATAACACCCAGTGCTCATCCCCACAGGTGCCCTCCTCCATGCCCATCTCCCCCCTCCCCCCCACACCTGTCAGTCCTCAGTTTGTTCTCATCAGTCNTGCTGATCCTCACAAGTGCCCTCCTCCATGCCCATCACCCCCCTTCCCCTCTCCCCCACACCTGTCAGTCCTCAGTTTGTTCTCATCAGTCAAGAGTTTCTCATGGTTTGCCTCTCTCCCTCTCCCCCACTATTTCCCCCCTTCTTCTCCCCCATGGTCCTCTGTTAAGTTCCTCCTAATTGTCCTATACATGCAAACATATGATATTTGTCTTTCTCTGCCTGACTTATTTCTAGAGCACACAATTCTTGATCCTGGGATCATGAGTTTGAGCCCCACATTGGGCACTGAGTTTACTTACAAAAAAACCAAACAAACCAGAAAACAGTTAACTCATACCTAATATCTAGCTAGCTAACAGAACACAGGAGATTTCAGAAGGACTTTCAAAACAAATATTTAATACTAAAGTATCCAATGTTATATTACCTATGTACAGCACATATAAAGTTAAAAGGTACTTGAGTAAAAAATACTTCAAATTTTTTAAAAACCTTCCTCTCAGCTAAGTTACCTTCACTTGCTATAAAAAGGTTAGCACAAAGAATACATAAACATGTCCAAAACTGGATAGAAATAGGAGGGCCGTGTAGGTGGCTCGGTCAGGTAAGCGTCTGACTTCAGCTCAGACTTGTGAGTTTGAGCCCCGTGTTTGGTTGTTCTGACAGCTCAGAGCCTGGAGCCTGCTTCAGATCTGGTCTCTTTCTCTGCCCCTCCCTTGTTCAGGCTCTCTCTCTCTCTCAAAAATATACATTAAAAATTTTTTTAAACGATTGGATAAAAATAAGAAAAGGAAACTATGATAGAGTTTAGAACCTAACGAAATTATCTAAAACTCCAATACCTATTAGAAAATGACCCATCAGTCTCACCACCGGATTGTGTCACTTCCCTGTTTAAAATCCTGCAACAGCCACTGTGGAAAACAGTATGGAGGTTCCTCAAAAAATTAAAAATAGAGCTACTACCGTACAACCCTGCAATTGCACTACTAGGTGTTTATTCAAAGGAAACAAAAATGCTACTTGGAAGGGGCACACGTACCATTTACAGTAGCACTATCAACAATAGCCAAATTATGAAAAGAGCCCAAATGCCCATGGATTGATGAATGGATAAAGAAGATAGGATATATATAAAATGGAATACTACTCAGTGATCAAAAAGAATGAAATCTTGCCATTTGCAACAACTTGGATGGAACTAGAGTATATTATTTTAAGCAAAATAAACCAGGGAGAGAAAGACAAATATATGATTTCACTCATATGTGGAATTTAAGAAACACAACAGATAAACATAGGGGAAGGGAAGGAAAAATAAGATAAAAACAGACAAAGAGGCAAACTGTACAACTCTTAAATACAAAGAACAGAGAACAAACTGAGGGTTGCTGGAGGGGAGGGGGGTGGGAGGATGGGCTAAATGGGTGATAGGCATTAAGGAGGGAACTGTTGGCATGAGCACTGGGTGTCATATGTAAGTGATGAATCATTGGGTTCTACTTCTGAAACCAATACCTGCATGTTAACTAACTTGAATTTAAATAAATTAGGGACGTCTTGGTGCCTGAGTCAGCCAAGCAACTGACTTCGGCTCAGGTCATGATCTCACGGTTTGTGAGTTCTAGCCCTGCATCGGGCTCTCTGCTGTCAGCACAGAGCCTGATTCGGATCAATTCTCCATTTCCCTGTTTCTCTGCTTCTCCCCCACTTGCACTCTCACTCTCTCAAAAATAAACATTAAAAAAATAAAGTCTTGCAACAGGCCCCTGTCATCCTCAGTATAAATTCTAAATGCTTTCACATGGCCACCAAGGTGCTTCAAATGATTCAGTCTTGCTGAATAAATGTTTCTATAACGGATCTTCAAAACAGAGAAGATAAAGCAGCTCCTATTTGGCCAGAAATTTGTTTCTTTTGAGTACCTCAGCAGATCTAACACAACTTAACAGCACTACGAGTCCCCACCTTTACCCAGAATCACACTGGGATCTGTGAGGCAGAAGGAGCTGGGACCAGTATGCCTGGCACAGCACAGACACCCGCCCCCAAGAGTCACCTGATTAAGTTCCTCATTTCTTTTTCTGCCCAAGTTTTCACCATCTTTCTGGGGTTTCCTTTACAATAGCCATGACGAAATCTTGAATAAGAAAAATATTTGTTATTGCAATCATTCTGTTATCTAGTTTTTGTTAGAATATAGAAACTAGATCAACTGGAAAAAGAATCTGAACTCACCTGAATTCCCCACTTACATACTTATCCCGATCTTTGAACACCAAAATAGAAGTTTTGTAAATTTTTATTGCTCTGCTTTCTCCATTTGCTGTGCTAGCGTGGTACACGTTAGCCTATTTTGCATCAAAAACAAATTGTTTGTGTTAAATAACTAAAAACAGTATTTTAATTTTCCACTGTTTGATTCTATCCTCAAAAGTCAAAAAAACAAAGTGAACTAAAGTAATATGTACAAGAAACACCATCATCTTTTGAATGTATCAGTTAAAATATGAATCATACCAAAAGGTACAGTAAATAGAGCTCCAATTTACACGACATCCAATTTCTAATTAAGTATGAAGCGGTTTCGAATATCTTTGCATCTCAAGTATGTGAAAAATATTAAGACATTCTTACATCTCATGATTCATAAACCGAATTTTACTGAGGACTGCTTCCCATAAAATGAGTTGCTAGTTTACAAATCATGTCTGTCTTTCTCCATATCCACGTACAAAGAAAAAGTGAGAAAGAGATTCATTTACCCACAGAAACTAGACTATAAGCCCCTCCTCCGGTAGTAACCATGTGGCAAGGACTCAGGCCTGCAGCAATCTGACCATCGATGCCTGTCCTGGGCACTACCTGGGCTCAGTGATCCAGTACAGCGACGATAATGAAAAGGCACAGTTATGTGCACAATTTCCTACCTAGCCATAAATATTAATAAAGCTGTTTTTAGAAACACTAATTAAACTATCCAGACTTGTGCAGGTTTCTTTTTTTTTCTCTTCTTTTAAAGACACCATTTATTTACTAAGTGCCTTAGTTTCATTTGGTATCTGAAATAAGAAAACTAACATGAAGACATTCAGGCATCCAAAGAAAAGCTCACTTCTTTTCCTGTGCTAATGCAGCCATTTATCTCTGATATGATTCCTCTAGTCAACATCTTGAATAATATCATTCGTGTTCTAGGATCCAACACCTAAAAAAACGCAAAAAATAGAACGTTCAGAAAGACAGTATCAAATATTTCTCACTGAAGCACCTGACCATCAATAAACTGAAGAGCTTAACTACTATGCTATTCTGTCTGAGAGTTTCAACTGTGCGTTTTTATTCGTTTTGATATTTAGTAAATAAAAGGAGACACAAAGGCCAAAGGAACAAGAGACAAACGAACAAGTTCATTCAGACCCAGAAATCAAAGTCTACAAGTTCAACAGAAGCAGAAACGGAATCCAGACTGACATTAGCTAATAGAATAGAATATATAATGCAAGCCACATAGTAGTTTTACATTTTCTAGTCACACTAAAAGAAGCAAAAAGTAGCAGATAAAATTAATTTTGATATACTTCATTTATTCCCATTTAAAACACTATCATTTTAATACGTAATCGATATAAAACGTTATCAGCAAGAGAGTTAACATTTCTTTTTCTACAAGTCTTCAAAATCTGGTTTCTGTTTACAGCACATCTCAGTTCAGACTAGCTATGTTTCCAGTGCTCAGTGGTCACTGTGCTGGATCTGCAACTTTAAAGCAGGGGTCAGAGCCCTATGGCGCAGCCATCAAATCCAGGCCGCCGCTTGTTTTTCTGCAGCCTGCAAGCTAGAAATGGTCTTTACATTGTAAAGGTTGTTTAAAAAAAAAAAAAAGAATGGTGAGTCACAATGTTTAAAGTACTTATTAAAAATTTTTTTTAATATTTATTTTTTAGAGATAGAGCATGAGCAGGGGAGGGGCAGAGAGAGAGGGAGACACAGAATCTAAAGCAAGCTCCAGGCTCTGAGCTGTCAGCACAGAGCCCGATGTGGGGCTCATGGACCACGAGATCATGACCTGAGCAGAAGTCAGCTGCTTGACTAAGCCAACCAACCACCCCATTTGTTTTTTATTTGAGAGAGAGAGAGAGAGCGAGCAAGCACACATGAGCAGGGGAGGGGGGCACTGGGGGAGAGAGAGAGAGAGAGAGAGAGAGAGAGAGAGAATCTCAAGCAGGATCCATACCGAACGTGGAGCATGACCAAAGTGGGCATGACCTGAGATGAAATCAAGAGTTGGATGCTCAACCGACTGAAGCCACCCAGGGGCCCTTATCATTTATCATTTAACCCTTTAAAGAAAGAGGTTTTTTTGCATACCTCTGGTATGCATGAATTAATCAGGGAAAGGGTTTCCTTCAAAGTCAGAGCAATCAATCTTGAGTAAAAAAGGATCCCAAAGTCCTCTTTAACAAACAGGAGGAAAGGAATTTAAAGCCCGGTCCCATCCATGCCTGAACTGAAGAACCCTGATATTTAGATGCAATTTCAAGGACACTCACAGCAGCCCCTCCAACTCCCCAGAGAGACACAGTGTAAAGTGGCCAAATCTAACTCTACTTTAGGGTCTATCCTTCAGTGACACAGCCGCTGTCACACCAGAAACCTAGGGTTAATAAAAACAAAACAACCCTGGAAAGACTGCAGGATAAAAAGCCAAACTGCAACTATGGCAACTAGAGAGGAATGAAAGGGAAGTGAGCGAGCGGGCCCTAACTGCCATTCCCGCTCCACTGCACAGGTCGGCAGAGGGAAGGGATGCGCTGAGAATCCAATCCAGGCAGACACCTGTGTTGCTGCAAAACTGGGAGGAAGCCAAGGCAGGGGCATAGGAGGAGCAACGTACCAATGTGGCTTTTAAACAAAATAGGGGAGGAGAAATAGGAGAACTGAATAAACTTACAAATACATATTTAAAAAGACAGCTTAAGACCAAGATACTCATTCTTATTCAAAATTAATTTCGGAAAAGGGGGAAAAAGGATTTCCTGCCTTAGTTATTTTAGGGAGTTTGAAAATTATGGCTACCACACTTCTCTCAGCTGGACTACACTTTGTTTTCAACACACACACACACAAATCACACAAAATAAATGAGAGAACAAGAAAGATGCAGATCTCAGACCTACTCCTGCCCAACTCCAGGCAGAATTCTTCAAATGTGCAAATGGTTCTGGGGTTCAGGTTAGGTGTTACTCCGCTAGCCAGTCATATCTGGGCTCATATCGTAAGTCAAGGATTTGGGAATCACAAAGGCTACTATTCCAAAATGTGTTTATGCCTTTGTGTAGGGGTGGGGAGAAGGGTGGTAGGTAGCAATAGCAACGTTCTGATCCTTTTTAGCACCTTCACATAAAAAAATCAAAACCAATGCTAACATCCAAACACAACTCTCTACAGATGGGAAAGTTAGGAAAAATTTCCCCCATTCTTTAACAGAAAGAATAAAACCATCATAATGTTTAAAACAAGTAAGGGATTTTTACTGAAAATGTGAAGGCATTGCCCTTCGCCCTCACTTTGTGGCAGATACCTATCTTCTAGGAAAGCTCACAAAATTCCTGCAGATCTTGCTTAAGACAAAAGATCTCTGGTCTTCCAGAACATTCTGCCTCCCCACAGAAGATGAAAGCATCACATGGTGGCCACAGAGGGGGGCATGAAAGTAAGTTACCTATCATCAATAAAGTAAAATGTAGACTTCTCAACTCAAAACTAGAAGAAGGAGTAATTTTAGGTAATATTAGCATTAAGCAAGAAGAATGAGTGCAAACTATAATCCCAAGAGAAAAGAAATGCTAGTTTAAAATAAGAACTTAAAATGAGATCACAGGGGCACCTGGGTGGCACAGTCAGTTAAGCGTCTGACTGCAGCTCAGGTCATGATCTCACAGTTTGTGGGTTCGAGCCCCGCGTTGGATTCTGAGCTGACAGCTCAGAGCCTGTAGCCTGTTTCAGATTCTGTGTCTCCCTCTCTCTCTCTGCCCCTCCCCATCTCATGTTCTGTCTCTTTCTCTCTGTCTCAAAATAAAAACTATAAAAATTTAAAAATAAATAAATAAAAATAAAATGAGAGCACAGTTGTACCTGTTCCACAGTTGCTCTGTCCGCCTTATCTTTGATGCGATACCTAACCAAAACCAAAAAAGAATATGGGACATTCAAAATTCAGAAGCCAAAATAAAGTTTCAAAATGTATCTCATCCCATAAAATTCCTAAGTAGGTGCTTTCTTTAATAACCTATTTCATAATCTCATCACAGTTCCATTGTTCAGTGATACTTCCTTCATGTCCCCTTAATCGTCAGTTCGGTTCCCTAGAGCAAAAGGAGCACATCTGCAGTAAGAAAAAAATAATTCTATCCATATTTCAGAAGGATAAAGAGAGCAGCTGGGGTAAAGTGAACCATGCTGCAAAAAAAAGAAACATCGGGTCTGTTAATACTGTCCTTGAATCTTTAATGATTCTATTAGTGGAGAATTATAGTCATTTATATCACCTTCTCTTTAGAGTCCCTTTCTACAAAGATACAGGTTTCTATCACCTTAAGACAGTTCTTGGGTTCTGCCTTAAGATGCAGACTCCAACTGGCTTCAACTCACACACAAAGTGATTCTATTAGCACACTAAACTCAACTCATAAAGATTCAAAGACAAAGATTCAGACACTTCCCATGAAGTAACAGATGACTATGGCAGTTCTCAAGTCTGGTATCTCTTGGGCATAGCAATAAACCAGAAGAAAAGTGATTTTTAGTCAGAAGAAAACTGGTTTTTAAGTTCAGTTCTAACACTACTAGTTGTATAAACTTAGTGTTATTTCCTACAATATGTCAATGCCCTAGTGTTATTAGCATACAGAACTTAGCCCAAACTTTAACTGGTTTTGAGAAGAATAAATAGAAACTGTTCTTAATTACATCACTATTTAGTTTTAAATCTTCCCTTATATTTTTAAAACTATTTCATGGAGGGATGCCTGGGTGGCTCAGCTGGTTGTGAGTTCAAGCCCCACACTGGGTGTAGAGCCTACTTAAAAAAAAATTTTTTTAAATAATAAATTTTTTGTTAATTTCATGGAAGGGAAATTTTTTTACTAAATTTTTAAAAGGGAACATTTTATACTTTAACACTTCAAAAATCTACGCTTTAGTTTAAACCATTACCCTCCTGAAGGCACATCTGTGAATTTCACAAGATTATATATAGCTTGACCACACATTTAAGACTCACTTAATAGTCTCAACTTACTAAGGAAAGGATAACCTCATTTAAGGTAAAAAACAAAAACAGGTTTAAGCATACAAAGAAATATCCTTTCCAAAAGAATTATGACCAAGGTGCTAATTTGTCTAGAATTAGTCCCTATCAGTCATGTTTTATAGTTAAACATTACTTACATATCTGCTTCCTTTTGTCTAGACTTTTCGGTGACTTTATTTATGACAGAATCAGTAACATTTAGCTTATCTAAAAATTAAAAAATACACAATATAAACAACATTTAAGGCAAAGATAAGACTTTCCGAATATACTTCTCCCCCCTTCCTCTTCTATTTTCCAAATATTGTTACATATAGAATCTCTTTTAATAATGAAAAAATGTTAATGTTTTTAGAGGTGAGCATGCAGTTGTATGTCCTTAGTGACAAGTGTCATCACTGTCATCATCACAGCTTTAATTTCTGAGCCACAGAAACCCAGATCCAGGAATCCCCCTAAAATCCTTTACCTGCATGTGCTGAATTTCAGATAGCTGTTAATACTTTATATGACTAACATAGGGAATATACACTGCCTGAATTCCAAGTTTAATTCTAAAAACTTCAGTTTCATTTCAAGTTACAGGTCAATGATAGGCTACGAGAGACCCTGTGCTAGGTTTATAATGAATCAATGTCGAGAAGACAAAGATTAGCCTGCATTTTTTAAGAGATGGTGGTTCAAATCAACATTCTGATTCCTTGCATTCAACAGCTCACTAAATGATTAATGCCAACATAAAAAGTATCTAGTAAAACAAAATTTATATTCAACATTCTAGTACAGTTGATACTTGAACATGTATTTGAATTGTGCAGATCTACTTATATGAGAATTTTTCACAGTACTGTACTGTACACGTATTTCTTCTTCCTTATAATTTAACATTTTCTCCAGTTTCCTTTATTGTAAGAATTTTGTATGTTATGTATATAACATACAAAATGTGTTTCTCAACTGTTTATGTGGTCAGTGAGGCTTTTGGTCAACAGTGGGCTACTTGTAGTTAAGTTTTGGGAGAGTCAGAAGTTATATGTGGATTTTCAACTGCATGGGGTCAGCATCCCAACTCCCATATTCAAGGGTCAACTGTATTTTCAACACCCTACTCTTAGACAATGCTACTTTAACATAAAATACACAAAAGCTTGAACAGGTATCTGTAACTTCATATTTCTATAGCAGAGGAGAGAATAGAGCTAAAAAAGCAGAAGCTGAAGTCTCTTCCCAAAGCCAGGTCTTTGAATACTGAGTTTCTATCTTCTGTAAACATTATTATTCAGCAGTAACACTGAATACACTCATTTTTGGATCTAATAACATTTATGAGACTTCATGGTTTCTGAATAGCTTCTTCATAGCCCAAATATAGTTTATGAACTCACCTAGATTAATTTTTTTCTCAAATTTCCGTAAGACCTTATCTGCTGGAGTACACATTTTGGCTGAGTTGTAGTTGGAAGTCTGTTGATTTGCCTAGAAGAAATGAGTTCCAGAGTTGAAGGCACTAGCTATATAGACCTAAGGTTCTTTATTACATGTCTTTCTCCTTAGCCCACAGTTAACTATCAGAGCATCAATACTTGAAGGAGTACCCTAAGAAAAGGTTAGGAATCAATCATATTTGCTCAAAAATTTTTTAACAAAGACACTTGAAGTAGGACAAAATTACTCGCTAAAATGAAGTCTGTATAATCTGCATTTTTAAACCTCCCTACAGTGTATTCCTCATTATTATAAATAAATTAAAATTAAATGCATTTTCCTAATTCAACTATTTACAGATTTAAAATTTGAAAATGTTCATTTATCTCTAAAATGTATAATGAATGGCTAAGGCCAACATTAAACTGGTTCTAAGAATTTCACTTTGGGCCTACTGTCTCAGGAAAGGGAAAGATCAGGTCTGAGGCTTACCACTTACCCTGGCGCTATGCACAAACTAAAATAATAGCAAAAAGAACAAACCCACAAATAAGAGAGTATAGCACAGATAAAAGGGCTCATAACAATGACTGATTTACTCTGGTTATCTCAGTTTGCAACTGTGAGGCTGACTTGTTTCTTGTCTGCATAGACCCTTCTAAAGTTTTCTACCAGATAGAACTTTAAAACATTTCTAAATACAGATTCACAGTAGAAAACACAGGTAAAATTTTAATCACCTATAATCCCAGCATCCAAAGATAATAGTTAACATTTAAGCATATATACTTACTTTTTTTTCTCTCTTTATTAAAAGAGAATAAACTCTATATTGAAATAGCTCAATGTCTCACCAAAACAAGACAAGTGTGAAATTCATCTGGTTATTTTTATTTTTTTTATACTTTTAATTTTTTTTAATGTTTATTTATTTTTGAGAGAAAGACAGAGTAAGAGCAGGGGAGGGGCAGAGGGAGAGGGAGACAGAATCCAAAACAGGCTCCAGGCTCTGAGTCATCAGCACAGAGCCTGATGTGGGGCTCAAACTCATGAACTGCAAGATCATGACCTGACCTGAAGTCTGACACTCAACTGATTGAGCCACCCAGGCACCCCATCTGGTTATTTTTAAAATGCATGCATTCTCGTCCACAACATAGTAGTCTTAATATTCAACGAAATATTGTTGGTTTTTCTCCCTCTGTCTCTTTCAGAAATCTTTATGCTCTAATAAGATGTACCATGTTATTCCTGGGCTCTGCAAAACCCTGAAGCATTGAGTACTTCCAGTTGAGAAGCAGGCTCTGCAATCTGATAACTTGTGCTCTGTACACGGTAGGTGATGGCATATCATGAACATGTCTTAATGTCATTAATATAGTTCTCCACCACAATGTATTTTATGGCTGCATAATATCCCATCATGTGCAATCAGTCCCACAACACATTTAATCAAGTTGTTTCCAGTGTTTCTCTATAAACAATACTGGAGCATCATTCTCATAACACTACTCTTGGCGCAATCTTAAAAGAACTGCTGAATCAAAGCATTTATTTTGTTTTATTTTTTTATGTTTTATTTATTTCTGAGAGAGAGAGAGAGAGAGAGAGAGAGAAAGAGCAAGCGTGAGCAGAGGAGGGTCAGAAAGAGAAGGAGACACAGAATGTGAAGCAGGCTCCAGGCTCTGAGCTAGCTGTCAGCACAGAGCCTGACACGGTGCTCAAACCCACGAAGCGTGAGATCATGACCTGAGCCAAAGTCGGACGCTTAACTGACTGAGCCACCCAGGCACCCCTATTTTCTGTTTTAAAAGCTTTTATCACATACCAGTTTATCCTCTAAATAAGTACTTATTTAGTCAATCAGCAGTTATAGATTTTGGGTCTTGGTCAGTTTCATAGGTGAAAAAAATGGCCTCTCTATATATTTAATCTGCATTTCTTTAATTATTAAGAAAGATGAACTTTCTCTCCATATTGCCTAACCATTTGTAGTGAACTGCCTATTCACATTGTTTCCCATGCAGATTTTAAAGCTCTTAATCTTATCACAATTTAAATAACTTTAAAAGAACCTACATCCAGGAAATTATCTGTCAGAAATACGAGAAGGATAAAGAACAAAACTTGGGGCTACAGGGCAACATAACCTGAGAGAAATCTTCCAGTTAAGTCCAGAAAGACGAAAAGTTTTTTGAAAAAAGAAGACATAAACAAATAACATGAAGACGTATACAATTATTTGTAAAATACCTGTGGGTTACTCCTTGCATTTGAGATATAACCTTTGGTGAGTTTTCCAACTCCATCATCCCAATCCCAGTCATCATCATCATACTCCTCCTCTTCTTCCTCCTCCTCTTCTTCCACCACGTCACCTCCACCCATCTTTTCAGGCACATTCTTCTGCATGTCTTCAAACAGAACATCTTCCTCTCTGCTGGTCTGCAGGTCAATGTTTTCACTAGAAATAGTATGTTTCCACATAACTAATTGGATTTACATACGCATTTATTTGTGATAGAATAGACTAAATCTATACCCATAAATCTAAAAGTTTTTCTTTGAACAATCATCTCCCAATAAACCCCAACTTAATACCAGGTTCTGTTTTTCAGAGTGCCATTCACACTGCTTGCTTATTCTCCAGGCCCTACTAAAGAAGTACATCAGGTGTTAAACCCACGTCTGCCTTAACAAAGTCAGGATTTACACTGTTACTCTCTCTGCTGAATGAATGGGCTCTGACCAGTACACCAGACCCAACTCTAGGAAAACCGTTCACAGATATGCCTTGGGAGGGGAGGGGAAGCTTTCTGACAAAATTTGGAACGAAGTCTAAAGCAGCCTTACCTTGAACTCAATACCACTCGAACAAAAGAAGCTGTATCAAGATTTGTGCAACACAAAGAACTTCAAATCGCTCATATTCATGAAGGGAAGGAATGGTGAACACAAGCACCACAAATGAGAGTGGTAGTCCAGGTGTAATTCAATTGGAGAAGTGGTGATTGTCAAACCCAGAGATCAGGCCCAGAGTAAATGGAGCACAACCAATGGGGTGTTTTTCTGCCATGTGAAAATTCAGACCCAGTGTTACCAGATCTTAGTTTTTCAAGAGAAGCCAGAAGTGTGGACTTTTAAATCTGCCACTTAACTGGTACATTTAATTTTAAACGTAAACTGTGGATACCAAACAAAACATATCTGCAGGTCAGATTCAACAGAGGTACCACCAGTTTTGACCACTCATGTAGAGAACAAACACAGGAACCACAGAGAAGAGCTGATAATGTGAACTACCGGCTTAAAAATGGTCAGACAAGAGTTTAGTAAATTCAGGACGTCAATCCTGATTATTAATTAGCCACAGCTTAGAGGGTTCCAAATCTCCATGGATATGGGATATGGGGAAGAGAATAATCATTAAACACCTGGTATTTACTATGATTTTGTAAACATAATCCTTAATTTGATCCTTTAATTGCCAACAATCTACAGTGGCATGTTAAACTTATACCTCGTCCGTACCAGAACTTCTTGACCTCGGCTGGACAAGTCTTTGTTGTAGGAGGTCGTTTTCTGCCTCACAGGATGTTTAGCAGCATCTCTGGCCTCTACCTATCTGATATATTGTGCACCCCCACACTCCCTTCCTGGTGGAGTGGACCCTGGAGTGTGGCAGGGTCACAAAATCCACTGGCTTATCCTCAGAATATCCAGTGATGGACGGTTAATCGGTGTACACCCATTACCATCAACTATTTACCAGCCACACTGGGCTACTTCTTCTCCCTACTTCTTCCCTAAAGCCTTTTATATGGTTATCTGGAATGCATCTGAAATAAAATCTTATTTCTCTGGCTAAATCTTATGTAACCTTCCAGTATTAGCTTATAATCATTTGCTCAGGAAAGCCTTCCACATTCCTTACCCATTTTTCCTTTATACTACTTACCCAATTCTAATACAAATAATTTGCCCAATTATTTAATATTTCCCCTCCTATCATGTAAGCTGTGTGTCAATCAGGGTGGTGTTTACCAATGTATCTCTATCCCACTAACATTAGACCTGACACACAGAAAATGATCAACATATTTTTATTGAAAAAAAAAATCCCCAAATGACTAGTAAAATCTACGTGTAATGAATCCTTAGTATGAACATAAAGTAAAAAACGGTTTCTTGGAATTCCAAAGGAACTCTTATTTTTCATGTAGGAGTTATCCTGAATTCCTTTTGCCTCACACCCCACAGCCAAATTACCACCGAACCTTATCACTTCTACCTCCAAAACATATCCCCGTGACTGTGACCCTATCTCTAGCTCCCCTCATGTTTGAACTGAATTACCACTTCTGAACTGCTTGCACTCATGCCCTCTAAAACCATCTTCTCCACAATACAGTAATTCCTTTAAATCACAAATCAGATTGACATTCCCTTACGAAAATCCTTCCTATGGCTTTCTATTAAGACCTAAAATATCCCAACTGCTTATCATCCCTTATAAGGCTCTATATGATCTGGCCCCTTCTCACTTCTACATCATTACCTAGCAATCTTCTTAATTACCTGTGCTATACTCTGGGTACAATGGCCTCTAGACCCCTCCTTTCACATCCAACGTTGAGCCTGTGCCTGGTCTCCTCTTCCTAAACTGCTGTTCCCTCTGCTCCTCCAGAGGTTAGATTCTTCTCGTTCATATCTGGACTTAACTTTTCCTTGACACTGTCATTACTTAGTCCATCAACTGATTTTAACTATTTGCACAGGGTATATTATCTGTTTTTTGTTGTTGTTTGTAAAATATCTTTATGTACTTAACCGTCTGCCCTTCTTCCCAAAGACAGCAGGGACTTAATCTTGTTCACCACCATCTCCAGCACCGAGGACAAAACCTGGCCCACAACAGGTGCTCAAATATTTTTTGAACACCGAATGCAGTTAGAGAGAAAAAAAAAAAATCTATGTTTCCCAACCACTATCCCCAACTCTGCCTCTTAGCGAGGTTTGCCAATCTGGGACTCCCTTGACAAGTGGCTTTCAAGAACTCTGGCGCAAAGTGAGATAAAAGACCCGGTTGGGATGGAGAGAGAACCAGACGGCTATGAAGAGAGACCACTCCGAATGATGAAATATCGGCCTCACTCAAAAGCCAAAGGAGGCGGTGGCGGCGGCGGAGATAGCTGAATCCCTACGAGGTCAGTGTGGCCAACGGCGCCCGCCCACCTGTCCGAGGAATCCGCGTCGTCGAACTGCCCGGGGACCACCCGACTCATCAGCAGCCGCCGGTAGTCCATGACGGAAACTCGCAGAGCCTCAGCGCACCTGGAGGCCGTCCGCCCTGAGCTGGGACGGGAACCGCTCAAGGACCGCGCTACCCACAGCCCATCCAACCGGCTCTGGGCAGATGCCCGCCTATCAAACTGCTCAGAAGCGCCAACGCCAAAAGCGAGCGCCACGTGCAAACAGAGATAAGCACCTACCACCGGGACACTGAGAACCGCCCTGACCGGAACTCCCGCCCGACCGGAAGTCTCAACCCTGCCGGATGTCCCGCCCCCTGGCGCGCCCGAGGGCGTGTGGGGCGTGGCAGAGAGCGTGGAGTCCGTTGCGCGCGGGGACTGGCTGGGGCGGCGGGTGGACGTCACAGAGGGCGGTTCCAGCGCGCTCGTTTGCCAACTGCGAGTTTTTAAAAGCCTTCGGGGGATGAGGTCTTGAAGGGTTCTTCTTCGTCGGGCGAAACCTTGTGCGTGTGGTACATGCGCGAAATCCTCACTGCGGATCCCAGAAGTTATGGACCCTGGAAGTGAGCACTTTTTAGACTGGGAAAGTTTGGTGCATTGTTTTGAGGGGAAAGTGAGAGAAGTGATTTTTAAAATGTTTGTCATACAACTGAATTTTAAAACTAGAATTCTGGTGGTAACTCCAATGACGACTCTTCTAACGTCCATCTTTTTAAAAACAATATTTTAACATTTATTCATTTTTGATAGAGAGTGCGAGTGGGGGAGGGTCACAGAGCGAAGGAGACACAGAATCCGAAGCAGCTCCAGGCTCTGAGCTGTCAGCACAGAGCCCGACATGGGGCTCGAGCCCTAGGAACGGTGAGATCATGACCTGAGCCGAAATCGGACGCTCAACCGACTGAGCCACCCAGGCGCCCGTAACGTCCATCTTAAAAACAGCTTTATAATGTTCCTGGAATATCTACCCAAACAACTGAATAAATACTCTAAAAATGTTAGCATGAATCTGGTAAGGACAGGATGAAAGGTGGAAAAAGTAAACCTAACTTTAAAGTAAGCTGATGGACTGCACCATGTGAATAAAGTTACAAAAGTATAAATGGAAGTTGTAGGTTCACCAACAAAGAAATTTAAGAAATAAGGGCCTTGCATTTGGAAAACAAAGATTTTGCAGATTCTTTTCACCACAGCCCAGGCAGCATTATGTGTTTGGAAGATGGAAAAGGTCAGCATAAAGGTTGGCTTTTCACACGACCCAAATAGCCTGCTTGTCTTACTGGCTTTTTATACTTCAAATGATGACATGGCTTTGGGAAAACAAATCAAACCTCACTAAATCTTTCATTAATTCGAGAATTCAGTAAAATAATCCAGGCAAATGGGTAGCAACTGTAGATTGAGAAGTTTTAATGGAAATAAAATCTTTGGACTGCAGGATTCATTCAATCAATAGTTACTCTGTGAACAACATTGCTGTTTGCTGCAGGACTACTGAAATATCATGAATGGACTCTCGGGAGGGATTTATAATCTGTAAATGCTAACACCCTTCAAGGGGTGGTGAAAGCTAACACAGTAAAACAAGTGCTGAACTGTAGAGATTTACCACATTGCAGGAATTTTGAAAATAGATGAATGGATAGATAGAAAGACTTTAGGAGAGAGAAGCATTTGCCAGGTCAGACTGAAGTAGTAAGGAGCATGATCTGACTAGAGCAGGATAGGTAATGTGTGTGGTAGGTAATGTGGGTCCACGCTATGGGAGTCCTAGAAAGTCCAGCAGAAGAACTTGGACTCCAGGTGATTGGATATCCTTTCCTCTGCCATCCCCTGACAGACCTGAGGAAGTCACGAGAGTGTGGGCCTGTGTGATGACGTGAGAGGTAGAAAGCATGGGTTATGAAAAACATTTTTAAAAGAGAAATAGACAGGACTTGGTAATTGGATGGCTCATGATGATGAGCTAGAAGGATACCAAAGGCATCTCCAAGTTTTCAAACCCAGGTGCCTGAGAGAATAGGTGTGGTGTAGGAAAGTGGGGGAAAGTGGATTTACAATTTTGGGTTTGACTTGATAATGAGATAATAGAAGGTATCAAGTAAATAGAAAAACAGTATTTTGTGGAACCTAATAGTTCTCTGATAACACTTTGTAAATATCTGTTAAGTAACTAACTGAGAGGTCCCTTTACCTTCTGGGACCTTCTAGGGAATTATTGGATAGTAGCCACATATATTGACTTATTTTTGTCCATATCAGTATTTATGACTATACAAAGTGACCATGGTATACTCAGACTAAAAAAATTTTTTTTTCTAATAACTGGACAAATGACTTTGTAAAATTTAGGACACTGAACTTTTTTGCCTTCTAAATGTGAGAAGGCATGGGGGGAAAAGCTCTTTGTTGGAATATACTAATAAACATTAAAATTATGCTTTTTTTTTTTAAAAGAAGACTCCCATCATTCAACAGTTAGGAACAAGGATTATATAAAAGTTTGGTCATCACCTTCAGATCCTTTGCATTTTGAAGTGCATGCTTCTCATGAAAAATTAGAAAGCACCTTGGAAGCAGACACCATGAACGTCAGCAGTCTTAGTCAAGATTTAATTCACTCAGATTCTCCCTTCTATATGGACACCAGCAGTACCAATTCAGACTTGCCTCAGGTATGCCTTGCTTATAAGTTCTAGGAGGAACAGATGTATTTGGCTTTCACGTTGTCTTCCTATGAATATGTCCTCAAAAACATAGGAAACAAGGGGCACCTGGGTGGCTCAGTCGGTTAAGCATCCAACTTTGGCTCAGGTCATGACCTCACAGTTCAGGAGTTCGAGCCCCGCATTGGGCTTTGTGGGGACCGCTCGGAGCCTGGAGCCTCCTTTGGATTCTGTGTCTCCCTCTCTCTCTGTCCCTCCCCTGCACACACTCTGTCTCTCTCTCCCAAAAAATAAACATTAAAAAAAATTAAAATATATATGGGAAACGATAAAAGAATCTCCAGGGGAGGCTCAGAGGAGGGGGGAATACAGGATCTGGTTTTCTGAGTCCTATTTGTGTACGTAGAAAGGTAGAACATTACAAATAGAGTGTTAAACCTGATCCTTTCTAGCCTCCACATGAAGTCCTAAGCGTGTAACAGGGGGACATGGACACAGCAACTCAGTCACAGAGGCAGGAAAAGAGCCCAAGGGGTCAGACATCTGGTCTTAAGCATGTTCTAATATGTCAGCATGCAAATGATTCAAATGTCATTCATAATGGTATTGACAGAGCCCTGCTTGTAAATGACTTTCTATTTTAATGAAAATTCCAAGTGTCCTTTCTCACAAACTAGAAAAATTTTACTGTCTCAAATTGTGACAAATGCTGTTCTAGATGTTTGACAATTACTAACTAGCAGGACTGTAGGGAAATAATATGAATGAATTACTTTGTGCTGTATGTAATTGCCTTTTTGTAGTTCAAGAATGGACAAATATTGACAATTTTCTGTGGGCTAGTCCATAAATTGGCATAAACTGTCTAAAGGGCTTTTTAGTGGGGTGCCTTGGTGGCTTAGTTGGTTAAGCATCTGACTCTTGATTTCAGCTTAGGTCATGATCTCATGGTTTGTGGGATCGTGGAGCCTACTTGGGTTTCTCTCTCCCCCTCTCTCTGTGCCCCTCCTCTGCAGGCACGTGCATGCATGGGCATGTGCTCTCTTGCTCTCTCTCTCAAAATAAATAAACAAAAAAACCTGAAGAAACACAGATCTTTAAAAAAATAAAGGAGTATTTAGTGATAGGAAATCACATTTTATTTTTAATTCTATCTCAAGGAAGGATGCAAATGAGATATGTGCAGAATTACCTAGAATAAATAAACATTAGGGGCACCTGATTGGGTCAGTTTGAAGACCCTTGATCTCAAGATTGTAAGTTCAAGCAGCATGTTGAAGGTAGAGATTATAAATAAACAAACTTTCATGAAAGGTATTATTTAAAATAAACAAACATTAGAAGCAACCTAAATTTTTACCAGTCGGGACCCAGTTAGATTATTGCACAGATGTACAGTAGATATGTGAACCTTAAATATGATAATATAGATACATAGTTGACCCTGAACAATGCAGCACTTAGGGGTACTGATTCCTCTCATAGTTGAGAAGCTTTATAGAACTGTGACTTCCCCAAAATTTAATAGCCTACTATTGACCAGAAGCCTTACGAATAACAAATAGTCAATCAACACATATTTTGTGTATTGTATTTGTTATATACTGGAAAGAAATGTGATTTAAAAAATCATTAGGAGAATAAAATACACTTATAATACTCTATTTATAAGAAAAAAATCTGTGTGAGTGGACCCATGCACTTCAAACCCATGTTGTTCAAGGGTCAGCTGTGTATTTGTTGATATAGAAAAATGATCACATTGCTTCTTACTGGGTAGTGGGGTTTTAAGTGCTTTTTACTTTCTTTTTTAAAATAATGTTCAAGATTATCTTTATAATGATAAATTTTATCATATTTTAATTTTTTAAAAGTTTCTTTACTTCGAGAGTGCCTGCATATGCGTGCATGTGCATGCAAGTAGGGGAGGGACAGAGACAGAGAGAGAGAGAGAGAATCCCTAGCAGCTTAGTGCTGATGCAGGCTTCAACTCTCAAACCGCGAGGTCATGACCTAAGCCAAAGTTGGAGGCTTAACCGACTGAGCCACCCAGGTGCCTGCTTTCATATTTTTTTTTAAAGAAGATTTGATCATAGTATTACAGTGTTAATCAAAGTCTAACATATTATGTACCAAATTGTGAAGAATGAATCTCTTAAATTACATAAAGTGGTTCTCTCCCTTGGAATTCATGGAGTATTTTATTCTTTATAAAGAATTTATAGACCAAAGGAACAACAGGCATATTTTAAAGACAGTATTATCATAGAAGGCTAGAATTAGAAGTAATCATTGAAGTTCGACAAGTAGTGGAGTTCCAAGAGTTTGTGTAAATATAACATCAATACACATTCAGTACTATTTTTTTTCAAGGATATTTTTCTTGATATGTTTCAAATCTACTTAGCAGAAATGGTCTAAATTAGCAAGAAGTCTAAAAAAATTTTATAAAACATAACTCGGTTTTTATCATAGTTTAGGTAACATTCAATAAGTGGGACAATGTTATAAAAAGCATGTTGAATAGAGGTTTGTAACCAGCTGACTTTAGTAGGAGATACAAATTATTTTAGAGCATCATTTGCCTTACATGCCTGATACACTATTCATAATGAAACCAATGTTTTCCTCAAACATTTAAAATATTTTCTTAACTTATACTGTTAATTTACTTAACAGCAACCTTTTCTCTTAGATAACATTGAGGTAACTTTGAGAATAAGTCCTACATTAATTTTTATGAATTTTTATCTATTAGAATCAGATTTCACCTCATTACTGGAACCCTTTACCTTCACTATTAAAAGACTTGAATGACAACTACCCTAATAGTTCTTTAGACCAGATTTAACAAACTCCAAAGGATTATCAGAGATTTATACATTATCATATACTTATGTTTACAGTACCACAATTTGACTTACCGAAAACTAAAATATTAAAAAAGCAAGATACTTGCTTAACATCGTTTAATATCATGACTCCTTTAGCATGGTTTTACTAAGAAGGAGCTCAGATGTACAGTAGGGAAAGGTACCAGAAATTACTAAGAGAAAAGTTACTAACAATGTACATTTGTTTGAAGTATTTGATGTTTGTTTGAAGTATTAATATTAATGCCTTTTTTATTGTTAATACAGAATGAAATAAAGAATATAAGAAGGGAAGATGAGTCTAAAGTCATACTTTCTGAAGAAATTTATGCCACACAAGATGATTGGTTAGGTGGTGAGTATCTCTTTGTTGGCAGTATACAGAGAAACTAAGATTTGTGTGTGTGTGTGTCCTGTGATAACAGCAATGATAATAATAGCCATGTGCAAATATACACATTATATGTATGATCACACTTACTCCACAAACAATCCTATGAAATAGGGTTTTTTTTCTTTTTAAATAAGGGTTGTTTTTATCTCCATTTTACATTTATCTCCATGGGGCTCAAGAGTAACATGAGAAGTACTAACCATTTGCAACATATTTGGCTATATTAAAATAAAAAAATTTTCTATATGACCAAATTATAACCAACAAAATTTAAAAAAACAAGACACAGACTAAAGATGTATACATGCAATGTATACATTGACAAGATTAGTATCCAAAATAACTCCAATAAGAAAAAAGACACATAAAACTGGATAGAAAAACAGGCCAAGTATATGTATTAGCTTGCTAGAGCTGCCATAACAAAACACCATGGATCGGGTGACTTCAACTACAGAGATTTATTTTCTCACAGTTTTGGAGGCTGGAAGTCTAAGATCAAGGTGTCAGAAGAGTTGGTTCATCCTGAAGCCTCCCAGATAGTCATACTATGTCTAGCCTCCCTGATGTCCTTTCTTCCTAAAAGAACACCAGTCATATTGGATTAGGGCCCCACTTTTATGACCTCATTTAACCTTAATGACCTCTTTAAAGGTTCTATCTCCAAATAGAGTCACACTGTAAGATACTGGGGGTTAAGCCTTCAGCATGTGATTTTTGGAGAGATTCAATTGAGGCCATAACTGTATCTAGTAGATCACAGAAAAGGAAACCTGCAAGACTATTAAAAAGACCACAAAATACCATTTCATGCATATCAGTTTAATATGCACTGAAGGGATGTAGTAGAGCAAATAAACTTCTATGCTATTGGTGGAAGTATACATTGGTACAGCCATTTTGGAAGATAATTTTGCTATGTCTAGTAAAGTTGAAGATAACATTTTCTATAATCCAGCAATTCTACTTTGAAGTATATATCCAGAACCTAGACAAAAATTTTTAGTGTACAAGGACATGTATAAGGATCATCACTGAAGGTTGTTTTTAACAGCAAAATTAGAAACAAATATCTAACAAAAAGGGATTAAAGTGTAATCTTTCAATAAAATTAACTAGATCTACATATATTTATATGGCTAAGTCTGAAAAGAAAAATTTTAAGTGAAATAAAGACTTTCATATGGATATAACTATATATATTTTATATCTAATATATATGTTACAAATGTAATTTGATTCTATTTATATACAATTTTAAAGCACAGAAAATAGTGCTGCACATCACCCAGGGTCATGCAGGACATTTTGAAATATTTAGGAAGCTGTAACATCTGTTAGACTCACAAACTACCAGCTTGAGATAGTTTACTATTTCAGTGTAAAACCATGTTACAACTCTTTATATAAAGTATTCTTTTCCAAGCTGGGTTTTTGAAGGTTGCTGTGATAAAAAGCAAGTATTGTACAAAAATCAATGTAGAATAGAAAGTGAGGGTTGCATTGTTCTATTTTATTGCAAGATCTGAGACACGTGGTACCCAGTAGTGGATCCAAGTAGTCAGTTCAGTTGTATGAGAATGAAATAAAACACATTTTTCTGTCAGTTTGTATTTTCAAACATCTACTAAGTTGTTGGGACAAATACTGAAGTTGAGCTTAACTACTTAATAGAACTGGTAGGTATTTCTTTCCAATTCTTGGAAATTGATATATACTATTTATGGTACATAATTGAGCAATGAAAGCAGAAAAATATGGATGGGAACAATAAATACATACCAGCTTTAGTAGTTATCTCTTGAGAGGAGAAAGGGAGGGAATTTAGGTGGAAGGGAGGCATCATTAATTAGTTTTGTAACATTTTATTGCTTATTAATGTTTATTTTGGTGGGGGGAGAGAGAGTGCTGAGCATGAATGGGGGATGGGCATCACAAGAGGGAAAGAGAGAATCCCAAGCAGGCTCCACAGTGTCAGCCCAGAGCCCAACATGGGGCTCAATCTCGCAAATCCTAAGATAATGACCTGAACCGAAACCAAGAGCTAGACGCCTAACCAACTGAGCCACCAAGGCACCTCTCCTGCTGATTTCTAAAAATGTCTTAAATCTGGATAACTTGTCATATTGAGAAACTGTATAACACAGCATTTAGAAATAGTATTCTAGAATCCCAAGTATACCACATACCCATTCTGTGACATTAGGCAAATAAGTGACTTAACATCCCTTATATCTCAGTTTATATGTGAAACAGAGATAATAACAGTGCCTGGCTCATCGGATTGTTGTGAGATTAACCAAGTTTATGTGGGTTTGTTATTATATTATTGATTGTGCTTTTTTATTCTTTGAACACATAATCAAAACATTTTAAAGTTACAGTACAACAAAAGAATTTTGAAGATGTCTTGGAATTTGTTGTAATGGTATTTGACCAGAATGATGTACAGCAAGCTTCTTTTGTAGCAGTCATTTGAGAACTTATGGCCTCCATGTAAAACGTAGTTCTATTTTGTTTGCTAGCACAAAGCCATGCTGAAATCCACTCAATAAAAAAATGTTGAAATATAATTTTAAAAAGACTCCCAACAGTTTATTTCATAAGTGTCAATATAACTGTTAGCATGTAAATGTATGGTCAGCTAATTCTTATTTCCATCTTTCTCTTCCTAATGAGATGTCAACATTGGAAATAACTCTCAGAATGTACTAACTCAGCAAGTTGACCCCAGCATTCCTTCCTTCAGACAATTTGAACCTGTTTGCAAATTTCATCTCACTGAAGCATTTAGTAATGAGATGATAACATTTCAGAATCTGAATGAAAGCTTACCTCACATAGTACAACCAGAAATGCAAAGTCATGTGTATAATTGTGCAGAAGACACCAATATAAAGGAAGATTCATTTAAGGAAGATCCACTGGGAACTAGCACTTCTTTAAGTGAAGAGCAGTTTGCTCATGAGTGTGTCAGACAACCTTATAGAAGTCCACCTGTAGTCCACGGCAGTGGAGAGACAGTGAAATTCATGGAAATGCCACTGGCTAAAAGTGCTGCCACGGAATCTGCCCTCAAACCTAGTCAGCCTCAAAGCATCTGGTATGAGGAAAATGTACACAGTGATGTTGACAAACCATTTTACAAAGAGAACAGCTTTAACCAGCTTGATCTGAGAGCTAATTGTGCAACAGAGAAGGTAAGATTTTTGGTGGTCAGTATAGCTTGTAGAGTATTAAACTATGTGCTTTCAAAAGCAAACACCCCCAAACCATGTATATAATCTTAGACTTTCCTAAGTATTATTATAATTTAATAATTAGCAAGAGGGACATTGCTTCTCTGGGGAAAATGCTTTCTGAGATCTTAATCAATTTATAAACAAATTTTTCTATTAAAATCAAGTCCATACATGGAGATTAGCTCTACCAAATTGGTCATATCTTTGAGGATCAAGGCTCTGTCTTACTCATCCTTTTATGTATCTTAGCACCTATGTGGTACCTTGAATATAATAAGCTTTTGTATTTGGTGAATCAAATTGGCTGAAACTCAAGAGTTTACTGTAAGGTAAAGGTTGAGAAGAGGAGGAAGGATGGAGGTATTATTTGACAGGAAAATCTTAAAATTTTCCTATCATGAGGGATTTCTGTTGACAAGCATAAAATATTAGTTTTTCTATCAAAGTGAAAATATTAATTTGTCTTTTGACCTATTGATTCTGGGGATGCATGTAGTATCCTAAGAACCCTGAGGATGCCATTAGTATAAATTCTATGTGCTCTCTGAAAATATTTTAAAGTAACAGTTTTAAGACTTGGTATGGGCAAATATAATCCAAGAGTAGTAAAAATAATACCTTTTTATTGTAAGTCTGATGAGAAAAGCTATGACTTTTTCATTTCCAAGTATGAGCAGTTCTTTTGTTCATTTATCTGGAAGTAGCATTTAAAAGAGAACTTTATTTTCCTATGTTGATTCGGGAAAATGACATTTTAAAAAATCTGTTTAATTAGTGTTTCTCAAGATTGCTCCTTCCTATTTCTGCTGCATTTAGTTATTTAATCAGTCAATAAATAGTTTCTGGAACATATTCTGTGCTAGGCTCTATGTTATGTGTTGGTTATATAATGGTTTTTAAAAATGCGGTTTTCGTCCTCATGAAAATAACACCTTAGTAAAAGAGACTCACATTAAATAATCACACATATAAATGTAAGCTTTCAACTATGTTAAGGCTCTGAGTAGTTATGTATAAAGTGTATGTAAAGTATACATAAAGTTTTATAGTATTACATATATAAACTGTAAGCTGCAAGGATGGTAAGTGTTGTGTCTTACTGTCCTGGTCCGGAAGTTTGGGGGAGGCTTTCCTGAAGTAGTGGTAATTGAGCTGAGCTCTGAAGGATGAGTAAGGAGCTAAGGAACTGTGGGTGGGAGAGCATTCCATGCAGAAGTAACATGCAGAAAAACCCTGTGGCTTCAGGAAGCATGGCACCCACTAGGACCTGACAGAGGCCCAGTGTTGCTGGATTGAAGGAGGCACATAGTAGGTGAGGAGGGAAAGGTAGCATGAGTCAGGCAGCAAGACCAGATAGCAGAACCTGTAGGCCTCCGTAGGGATAGTTGTTTTTATCCCAGAATGATGATAAACCATTAAAAGACAGGGGTCCAATGGCACCTGGATGGCTCAGTCAGTTCAGTGTCCGACTTCGGCTCAGGTCATGATCTGACAGGTTTGTGAGTTGGAGCCCCGCAGAGGGCTCGGTGCTGACAGCTCAGAGCTTGGAGCCTGCTTCAGATTCTGTGTCTGTCTCTCTCTCTGTCCCTCCCAGGCTTACACACTGTCTCTCAAAAATAAATAAACATTAAAAAAAAAAAAAGAGAGAGGTCCAATATCTTTAAATTTTAGGAAGTTATACAGCCCACCCCTGCAGATATCTTTTACAGGGTTTTAATGTCATGTTTATTTCAGTATTTTCTTACTACAACTTATTGTCCTTTTAAAAAGTCCTTAAAACGTGTGTTGTAGGCAGAAAGTCAATGACAAAGCATTTTCATCTGATATTCTTACATTCACAGGAGTCATACCAATGAAATAATGGCTTAATAAGCAATAAAAGTAGTTTTCACTCAGGGGTGCCTGGGTGGCTTAGTCGGTTAAGCATCTGACTCTTGATTTTGGCTCAGGTTATGATCTCACAGTCTTGGGATCGAGCCCTGTGTTGGGTTCTGTGCTGAGCTTTGTGACTGCTTGGGATTCTCTCTTTTCCTCTATGCTCCCCACTTGTGTTTTCTCTCTCTGTCAAAAATAAATAAAAGAGTTTTTAAAATTTTTTAATGTTTATTTATTTTTGAGAGAGAGACACACATTGCGAGTAGGGGAGGGGCAGAGAGAGAGAGAGACCAAATCTGAAGCAGGCTCAGGCTCTGAGCTGTCAGTACAGAGCCCTACATGGGGCTTGAGCTCAGAAACTATGAGATCATGACCTGAGCCAAAGTAGGATGCTTAACTGACTGAGCCACCTAGGCACCCTAAATAAATAAATAAACATTTAAAAAATGTAGTCTTCATTCAAAAGAGGCCTCACAGACTGTAGGGTAATTGATAAATTTATTTTAATTCATTTGAAGTAAAGAAAGTACCTACATGTTCAGAAAATTTCATACCATAGAAAATGCTGAGAGTATCAAAGCTGAGTTTTTCTTTTGTAAAAGTAAATGTGATATCTATCATACACTTTGTGCTCTGCCACAGGTGCTGTATATATATTTAGCAGGTTATACTTAAGTATGTTTGTTAAGTAGGTATTATTATTGGAAGTGAATATTATTGTTAGAGCTGAGAAAACCAAACTAGGGACCTAGAACTTAAGGCCAGTTCTGATTTCAAAACTTCTGATCTTTATACTCTTTTTCACTTATTTTATTTACTGTAAGATTGCAGTGTCTTCAAAAGGAATACAGAGTTTTGGGGATATTCCTGAGATGCCAGTCAGTCACCAAAAGGAAGTCGCAGTGGAGGCCCTGGACAGTCCAAGGACTGTCTCACCTTGGTCTCCTGCAGGCATTTCTTGGAGTGGTGAAGCGTCTCAGGAGGACGGCAAGGCACCTGACATGGAGCAGAGCTTGGAGAGCTTACAACCTCTGAAAGAGGACATGGATTTAAATGAAGTCTTATGGAAATTAAAACATACTAACAAAAGGCAGCAAACTCTGATTCAAGGCCTGCAGCACAGCAACAAGTATTTAGAGAAGAAGGTCAAAGAGCTCCAGAGGCAGACTACCAAGCAGCAGGTGTTCGTTGACATCATAAATAAGCTAAAGGAGAAGGTGGAAGAACTAATTGAAGACAAGTACAGAGTGATGCTAGAAAAGAATGATACCGACAAGACACTGCAGAATTTGCATGAGGTTTTGACTAACACCCAAAAACATCTCCAGGAATCTAGGAATGAAAAGGAAACCCTACAGCTTGAGCTTAAGAAGATCAAAGGCAATTATATTCACCTACAAGAAAGGTACATGACTGAAATGCAGCAGAAAGATAAAACTGTAAGTCAGTGCATGGAGATGAACAGAACCTTAAGCAGGAAAGAAGAAGAGGTAGAGAGGCTGAAGCAACTCAAGGGAGAACTGGAAAAGGCCACCACTTCTGCTTTGGACTTGTTGAAAAGGGAAAAGAAGACCCGAGAGCAAGAGTTCTTGTCCTTACAGGAGGAATTTCAGAAGCATGAAAAGGAGAACCTGGAAGAAAGACAGAAACTGAAATCAAGACTGGAGAAACTGCTCACTCAAGTTAATAATTTGCAGTTCGTATCTGAAAACGAGAAGGCAAAGAATGCCAAACTGCAGCAGCAGGTCAGCACAGTAAAACATGAAAACGCAAGGCTTCAGCAGCAGGTTGCGAGGCGGGAGGAGCAAAATTATGTCCCTCAGTCTGAGACGGCTCATTTAAAGGAGTACTCCAGAGAGGCGGTGGTGGCAGATATCACAAAGGTATCGTCACAAATTTGGAACGTCTAACGCAGAATTTCGGGAGTTTCTAACAGTCTGCTGATGCATATTTAGAGGCAGCACTTTGTCAACAGAAAGAATTATTAACAACAAAAAAAGTGAGAGTGGAAAAGGTACCACAGGTTTGGAGAAGCTACTCTGGTTCTTGGGTACTCACATTAAAGAAAGCTGCTTCTTGGGTACTTACCTAAAGAGGCTCTTTCTGGCCTCTTGTGACTATTTTGGTAGAGGTGAAAATTAACGTGAGAATTTTCTGGGTACCTGTGACCAATCATCTGAAGCATCCTTTGAGAAAGGGTTTTCTAGGTGGGGACTCTGTGTTTTCATGTCACTTCTGCCTATTCAACAATAAAACTAATACAATTGCATGTTTGGTTTACAAAGCAAAACAAAACTATACTATATCACATTAATTTTGTGAAAGTATATACTTTTTAATTGAGGTATAATTGACCCATATTAATTTCCAGTTTGAAACATAATTCGATATCTGTGTATGTTGAAAAATGATCACCACAATAAGTCTAGTTAACATCTGTTTAAAATAGCATGAAAGCCTCATATCAATACATTTGGAGAGGCTGTAATTTTGTATCCTATGTAGTTCAAATGACTTTTTTGGTAGACAAGAACCTGGAAGTATGTATGGAAAATGAACCTGGAAAGGATCATTTTCACAAGCTGGAGCACATCTATTTCAGTTTTGTAGGCTTGTCTTAAAATATTTATAGTACAGGGGCACCTACGTGGCCAGTCGGTTAAACATCTGACTCTTGATTTTGACTCAGGTCATGATCTCACAGTTGGCAAGTTAGAGCCCTGAGTTGGGCTCTACACTGACAGTGTGGAACCTGCTCGGGATTCTCTCTCTCTCTCTCTCTCTCTCTCTCTCTCTCTGCCTCTCCCATGTGTGTTCCCTCTCTCAAAATAAATAAACTTAAAAATATTATTTATAGCATAGCCTTATTTAATTCTTACTACTTATAAAGAAGGCTAATCTGGGTGCATGTGGGTGGCTCAGTTGGTTAAGTGTCTGAATGCAGCTCAGGTCATGGTCTCATGGTTCGTGGGTTCGAACCCTGCATTGGGTTCTGTGCTAATAGCTCAAGAGCCTGGAGCCTGCTTCAGATTCTGTGTCTTCCTCTCTGCCCCTCCCCTGCTTGTGCTCTCTCTCTCTCTCAAAAATAAACATTAAAGAAATTTTTTTAGAAAGAAGGCTAATCTGAACTAAAAATCTGTATGTTTATCTTAAAATTCTTATAATACAACTTGAGCTAATTATGTTGCCTTGAAGATGTCCTTAGTCCATAATTAGTACAGGTACTGTTTGTAAGTAAATAGTTCTTTTCTTTTTTAATGATTCTTAGGAAAATATTCTCTCATATTTAAAAAATTCTCTCTGTAATCTTTTCTCCTGAAAGAAGTTAGGATTTTCTAAGCCAGTGGTTCTCATTCAGCTAAAATTTTAAATTTAAAATTCAGCATTTGCTGTGAAAATGCAGATTGCTGGGGCTCACCTCAGCATTTCTGATTCAGTAGGTGTGTGGGGAGGGGGGTGGTGCTGAGAATGTGTGTTTCTACCAAGATCCCAAGTCTCACTGATGCTGCTGGTCCGATGGTCACACTTTGAGAACCACTCACCTAAGCAGAGATGACCTTAAGTTTAGCTGCTAACCAAATCATGACAAACTTAATTGGTAAACCCTGAATGAGTTAGTATAACTGTACAGAGGTTTATCACAGTATATTTTTTTTCTTGAATTTTCTTAAAAAATGAAAGTAGTGGTGCCATGGGTGGTTCAATCAGTTAAGGACCTGACTTTTGGCTCAGGTCATGATCTTGGAGTTTATGAGTTCGAGCCCCACACTGAGCTTGCTGCTGTCAACCTGTTAGCCCAGAGATCCTCTGCCCCTCCTCCTCTCATGCTCTCCCAAAAATAAATTTTCTTTTAAAAAAAGTAAAGTTCTTTGTTTTCTCTTGACTAATCAATTTCTTTAATATCCCCCAAGTCATCCTTACTCTGCTTTTTGTCTTGCTTTTCGTGAACTCTTGGTCTACTGTCTCAAAAGTGTGGTCTGGGAATGTCCACGAGATCAAAAGTATTTTCATAGTAATAGGAAGATGTTATGGCCTTGCCACTCTCATTTTTTTCACAAGTGCCTCCAGTGGTGTTTTCTAGAAACTGTGTGTCATTGCTTTTATGGCTGATCAATGTGTGAAGCAGATGTGAGAATCATGCCATCTTCTATGAAGTCAGCATTATAGATATTTACAAAAATGTAAAAGGTGCCACTCTTTCCACTAATTTTTTCCTTTGGAAAATGTAATTTCATATCAAAATTGTTATTTATGTCGACACAAAGGATTTATTGTTATTTGAATAGATGAGTAAACATTTTTATTAAAAATTTTTTTAATGTTTAGTTTTGGGGAGGGGAGAGAAGGGGGGGAGGGGCAGAGAGACTAGAGACCCAGGATCTGAAGCAGGCTCCAGGCTCTGAGCTGTCAGCACAGAGCCTAATGTGGGGCCCAAACTCACAAATCCTAAGATCTTGACCTGTGCCGAAGTCAGATACTCAACCAACTGAACCACCCAGGTGCTCCAGTATTCATAATTTTTAAATGTTCTCAGTCATAATTCCTTTTTTTTTTTAAAGTTTATTATTTAAAGAGAAAGTATGCACATACATGTGCACCAGTGGGGGAGAGACAGAGAGAGAGAGGAGAGGGAAAGAATCCCAGACAGGCTCTGCACTAGAGCCTGACATGGGGCTCGATCCCACCAACTGTAAGATCATGACCTGAGCTGAAGTCAGGAGTGCGACACTTAATTGACTGAGCCACCCAGGGGCCCCTCAGTCATAATTTCAAATACAAAAAGTATTGATAGATATAACCCACAAAAACAAAAGGTTTTTGAGATTCTTACTAATTTTTTGAGTCTATAAAGGGGTCCTGAGAATCAGAAGTTTGAGAACCACAGCTGAGAGTTTTGTTTTTTTTAAATATTAACATTTATCTCCAATTTTTGTTTTGTTTTTAATTTTAGAAAGACAGTATTATGAGCAAGTAGGGGAGAGGGGCAGAGGGAAAGAGAGATTCTCAACCTGACACAGGGCTTGATCCCACGACCCTGGGATTATGACCTGAACCAAAGGTTGGACACTCAACCAACTGAGCCACCCGGGCACCCCACCATCTCTTCAAATTTAAATTTAAATTTGAGCCCACGTTGTTATGGCTGCTCAGAGTTTTAAAGAGTGGTATTTAATTCACAATTTTACTTAAAGAGCAATCTAGACTCTTTGTCTTTGTCTTTATCGTGACACATCTGAATTGTGTACACATAGGAGGCAAAGATGATACGTTCTGATTTGTTCCCAAATTGCTCACCTTGTGAAGAAGAGAACCTGAGTCCCCCAGATGTGAAAGGAACCTCTCAGCTGGTCTCCAAGCTTCACAGTCTTTTGGCTCTGGTCATAGGACTTCTCACATGCCAGGTAATAAAAGAAAATTCATGTATTTTATTGGGGGAGGAAGAAATCCTGAGGTTGGACTAGACCAAAGAGGCAATATAAGGCGATGGATGGAGTCAAGTTATAGGAGAAAAAATGGAAGACAAAATTCAGGCCCTTAAGACAACCAGTCAGCCCTGCCTTCCTCCCACTGCTTCTTTTTTTATCTTTCTTCAATACCTAATTCCCACAAGTAAAATAATATAATCAGATAAAAAATAAAAGCATCAGGGTAAAAACCCTTCATTTAGTACTTCTCCCATGTCATGGACACTCTGTCAGGCAATAGTCTTGTTCTCTGGCTCAGTCTGCTTCTGGTGATTAGTGAGTGTTCCCAGCATCACGCCATTTGCCCAACCTAAAATTTAGCTTTTGGGCAGGGGGAGGGCAGCGGGGAGTTGTATTCACTAGTGGAATAAAGAATGAAATTAGTGTCAGGTGAGTTTGAATCCTGACTTCACCACTTCCTGGCTGTGTTACTTGGCCAAGTGACTCTGCCTTTCTCAGTCTTAGTTTCCTCATCGTAAGTAGGGGAAATCATACTTGCCCCTGCCCTGGGCCGTTGCAAGCACTACATTTAATGAAAGACCATGGTACAAAGCATGACACTTGATAGCTTCTCCAATGAGCTAGCTGTCTTTCTTGCTCTTCTATTATTGTCCATTTCTTTGATCTTAAGCATAGTCATCAGAGCCCAAATGGGGGCGGGGGGGATGCTCCGTGTGTTCCTGATCCAACACAACCCTTATTTCTATGTGTTTTAGCTAAAGTTTGTTGAACGCTGGCGTTTATTTAATGCTACACACTGAGCTGAGCATTTTATGCAGAGATCACAGTGGTGGCGCAAAGACTATATCCACCTAAAGTTTGACTTTATATATATGACTCTGCATGTGGCACACAGACTCTCCTTAGCTGCAAACTTCTCCATCCTGTTTTGTTCCTTCATACATTTGTTTACTCACCGTAAGTCTTGGTTTTTCCCCCATGTCACTGGAGGCTGCTTCTCTACCGCACCATGAGGAGTGTGTCCTCAGCCCTCTTGTTAGTGGATGTCATCCTACACCAAACAAATATTATCTGTTTGCTTATTCTGTGTCTCCCACCCCCAAGTAGAATGAAAGCCTTCAACATCAGGAACATGGTATGTTGTATCCTCTGAACCTAATTCAGATTAAGCCCTTAATCAACACTGAACGAGTATTTGTTGACTTTCCAAATTGTCCTTGGAGGCGTTTAAATTTACTGTCCCTGCCTTTCATGGGTTATCTCATCCAATCCTTATGCCATTCCTTATATTATCAGACTTTTAAAAAAATGGGGGGAAAATAACATGGAAAAATAGACTGGGACTTAGTACAGTTGGGTTTCTTGTCCAAAATCTCACATAGGATTAAGTGACAAAACTCAGATACAAACTCAGGCAGTCCAACCCCTGCACACATTTTTGACCCTGAGGTTATACATGCAAATACCTTCATTCTAGGCACCCATGAAATACTAGAGCTTCAGTACTGTTGAGGATGTCTGATTACTCTGATGTGAGTTACTGCAATTTGGCTGAAATTTGAATTTGTAAACTGACCAGGCTAGACTAACAGGGGATGTTCATATGAATGTGTAAGCATGTATTGTTATTATAGGTGATTATTAACTTTCCAGGGATTATACTAATCTGTCCCAATAACTACTTAGATACAAGTGTGAATCTATAAGAATTCTTTCCACACTAACCCTTTATTAGATGTCTTTTGGATGAGTAATTGAGTTCAATATTAGTGTGGTCATTTATTCTGGAAATTTTGTGTGTGTGTTTTGTCTGTCCTTCTTTTAGCTTTAATGAAAACTTTTTAATATAGCTTCTCAAACTATTACCCTTAGGACATTGTTACTACCAATGCTGAACATTTCAAAGATAGTGAGAAAATTAGTGATATAATGCTACAAAAACTGAAGCACTTCCATCTTAAAAAGAAAAATTTAGATAAAGAGGTACTGTATTTATTCTTTATTCTAAAACCTGTATCATTTTTGGTGAAAATAATAGTCAAAGAAAAAGGTAACATAAGAGTATAAAGAAACTCCCCAAATTTTGATTTTTTTTAGAAGAATTGTTTTGGGGAACCAGATTAGTTTTACTATGGCCCTCACTAACGAGATACATTGTTCAACATTTGATTTGTTTTATAACTTAAGTTTGTATTACAAATAATATTCATCTACAAAAAAAGGGTATGATTATTTTTTCCACTTTTGCATGGCATTACTGATTCTTTTTAATGTTTCTTTATTTTTGAGAGAGAGAGAGAGAGAGAGACTGAGTGCAAGCTAGGGAGGGGCAAAGAGAGAGGGAGACACAGAATCTGAAGCAGGCTCCAAGCTATCACCACAGAGCCTGATGTGGAGCTTGAACTCACAAACTGTGAGATCATGACCTGAGCTGAAGCCAAATACTTAACCAACTGGGCCACTCAGGTGCCACAGCACTACAGATTCCTAAAGATTAGTGTATTTGGTATCCTGATAGTGATTTCAAACTCTATCACTTGGAATAGTGGATACATTGAAAACCAGTCATTTTATTTCTCAAGTAGCACAAAGATAGGGGAAGAGATTCCTGGAATTTCTTCAGTTATTCTTTTCTTCGTATAGTGGTACAGTGGTGGAGAGACAAATTAAGAGAGTAAGTAAAATGGAGAAGGCAGTAGCAGGATGTTAACTTGTACTGGTTTTAATTTGAGAGGAAAACAGAAGTGACAAGTTTATCAGCTAACGGAATAAAAACGTATGCAAATATGGGATCTTGGATTGTTAATAGCAAACTCAGTCTTATATTATTAGGAAATAACTTCTCTGAACAGACCTGGATAGAAAATTTATGCAGACATTCTGGGGAGTCTCTCTGTCTTCTAGTTAACCTGTAGAGAAAAGGATCAAGGAATAACAGCTACGCAGAGAAACAGATACATCCTCCATTTTGTAAACCACCCTTCAAAAATAGGCCCCACTGAAGGTTGGAGCAGGATGTTACAAAAATACAATGTCAGATATTTGTGTTCTTTTGGTAAATTTACTGAAGTATTGTCAGGTGAAACGATATGGTGTCTGTGACTTGACTTAGTGAAGGGAAGGATTGGAGCTGGGAAGACGTGCTTGGGGATATAAATGATACAAGATTGACTACTAGTTGCCAATAGCCAAAGCTGGGTGAAAATTACATGGAGGTTCATTCACCTTTTTTCCGTAACTATTGGAAATTGCTCATAATAAAAATAATTCTGTGCTTCACACTTTATTTACCTCACTGATTTTTAGAGAAGTTTGAACTTTGAATATTAAGTTGTGTTGTTATCATACTGAAGGAACAAATGAACAAATAAGAAATGGTTATAAATTATGTCTAAGAAAAATTGGTAGTTTTTTTTTAAAGAAGAATTCTGATAGCCTGGTTGTAAAAACAACTGAATATTGGGATAAGCAAGCTCCTAGAGATGCCAAGGCCACCCTCAGGTTCATTGATTGGTTGGACCTGTGGGACTCTGCATACAGTCATACTACAGGTCTGTTTCACAGTGAGAGGATACAGAGCAAAGTTAGCACAGGCAAAAGGTGCTTGGGACAAAGTCCAGAGGAAACTAGATTCAAGCTGCCAAGAGTCCCTTCGCAGTGGAGTCACACAAGATGCACTTCATTTTTCCAGCATTGAGCTGTGACAATATATGTAAAGTTTTTACCAGGGAGGCTCATTAGAGACCCAGCACCCAGGATTTTTATTGGGGACTACTCACATAGGCACCCCTGCCTAGCACATATGAAAATTCCAGCCCCTCCAGAAGGAAAGAGGTGTTCAGTATAAACCATATGCTTTGTGAAATAGATTAGGCTGTTTATATTATGAAATGATGGAAATCCTCCAGCAATCCAAGTTCCCAGTCCCCAAGGGGGCAGAGTACAATCTCAGATCTGCAATGTGATTGCTTTTCTGTACAAGAGCTGTAAAAACAGTAGATCTTTGGAGACCAGGGATTGGATGGTGCATGATTTGATGATTTTATTATAAATGTTATAGAATATATTTTATTTCGTCTCCTTTTCTGAAATGTAAAATGCTTTTTTTCTTAGCTACTGAAACATAAAGACAGAATCACAACTTTTAGAGAGCTAATTACTAATGAAAAAGCATTTCAAGATCGGGTTATTGAGGTGAGTGTAACATTCACTGTGCACTGTCTTTAACATACAAAAATACAATTTCAAATATTTATGTTCTTTTGGGAAATGTGTTGAAATCCTTCCAGCTGTACGTTCTACACGTCTATGGTTCTAGCCACTGAAGATCTCTCTGATTGTTAAACTTATAAAATATTTATTGTCAAATTTTCCAAGGGATGTGAAAGTGTTGAAAGTGAGCACAAACGTATTTAATCTCAGGTTACAGACTTTGATTCACATGACACCAAGAACGTTGGAGATGTACCCATCTTACTGGGAGCCAGACTGAATACGTACTACAGTCTGAATGAAGAGCTTGATTACTTGGTAAGAAAGATCTTTTGTTGCTTCACTATCCTTTTTATCCATAGCACCATTTTATGGATGAGTTGAAGAAACTATCAACCTTTGGGATGCCTGAATGGCTCAGTTGGTTAACTGTCCAATACTGGCTCAGGTCATGATCTCACAGTTCATGAGTTCAAGCCCCACATCGGGCTCTGTGCTGACAGCTCAGGGTCTGGAGCCTGCTTCGGATTCTGTGCCTCCCTCTCTTTCTGCTCCTCCCCTCCTCGTGCTCTGTCTCTGTCTTTCTCAAAAATAAATAAACATTAAAAATATAAAAATAAAGGATTCTTTGAATCAAACCTAAAAAAAAAATCTATCAACCTTCTAAAACTTTGTTCATTAAAATGGTCTTCCACTGGCACTGTGGCAGTATTATTTGACCATAAGAGTAGAGAATTGAAGTTTGTATTTTTGGGTTTTGATATTTTACATATTGCCCTACCTGATATTGTTTAGAGTAATCAGATTTATTTTTTCAAAATGCAGAAATAAAAAAACATGCGCTATTTTTCACAGATTGAAGTACATTTGTACTTTTGCATATGCTACCACCATTCTTTTTTTTTAAGTTCTATTTATTTTTTTTAGTAATCTCTACACCCAACATGGGGCTCAAACTCAGTTCCAAGATCAAGAGCTGCACACTCTTCTGACTGAGCCAGCCAGGTATCCCACTACCACCATTCTTATATCAATATATCAATAGCTGTTTATAACAAGTATGATTTAGGAGTACTTTGGGAAATAGTCCTTAGAGTTTACTTTAGATTCCATCTAAAGATGAAGGCATCAGCACAGAAAATAAATAGTAATTATGTGACTTAATGGAGGTGTTAGCTAATGTTGTGATGGTAATCATTTTGCAATATAGAAGGGTATCAAATCAACATGTTGTATACCTTAAACTTACACAGTATTATAGGTCAGTTATATCTCAATAAAGCTAAAAAAAATAAAGGCAGATAAAACAGGAAAAATATGTTATAAGAAAGTGAAAATGTGGGGTGCCTGCGTGGTTCAGTCAGTTAAATGTCCAACTCTTGATTTTGGCTCAGGTCATGAGTGCATGGTTCATGAGATCAAGGCCTATATCAGGCTCTGCGCTGACAGCAGGGAGCTTGCTTGAGGCTCTCTCTGCCCCTCCCTGGCTCACACTCACTCTTTCTTTCAAAAATAAATACGTAAACTTTAAAAGTGAAAATATGATCTTGGTGTCTAGATAGTTATAGAATTATAATCCAATTGAATTCTACTATAATGAAAAAGTGATTAATTAATGTAATTTATTTTCTAATAGCAGAGAAGTCTATCATATTTCTAAATTATTAAAAATTGGCATTCTGCACTAAATTTATAGCATAATCATTCATCTATAAGACAGAAGAAAAAGTCAATGTGGTGAGGGCTCAAAAGTTTCTTGTAATTCATTAACTTTTTAATTTAATAAATAATTATTGACTTCCCACAAAAGGCTAAAAAGTTCTAGTCACTATGGAGACGGAGAGCTAAATCAAACATGATGTCCACTTGTAAGAAACCCAGAAAGGAAGACATAAATAACTATTCAAAAGGGATAAAAGGGAAGATTTTATTTAAGTTTATTTGTTTTGAGAGAGAGCACACATAGGAGGGAGAGAGAAAGAGAGAGAGAAAGAATCCCAAGCGGGCTTTGCACTGACAAAGCAGAACCCAACATGGGGCTCAATCCCACGAACCATGAGATCATGACCTGAGCTAAAATCAAGAGTTGGGTGCTTCACCAACTGAGCCACCAAGGCGCCCCAAAGGGGAAGTTTCTTAAAAAGCGATACAGTGACTAGCAACTGACAGAGGCCCTGTTTGTTGAACGAGGAGTTCAGAGGAGGACCAGATGCTGTCCAGGTGGGGGGAGGATCGTGGAACCCCTTGTGAAGGGGAATGGCAGCTGGACTTTGAAGACTGGTTACTTTGGAGCATAGGGAGATGAGAGCAGAGCTCTCAGTAAGTTCTATCATTCATTAGTAGTTTCTGTGCTTCGGGCATAAAAGATACTGCAAGTGGACCTTTATGTTCCCAGCAGTGGCAAGCTGGGAAGCAGATGTGTGTCAGAAGCAAGTGTGTCAGATACATGATGTCATTTTTAAAGTGCACCGTGGTCTACTTCCATAAACCGTGTCTCAGAGAGACCAAATAATTGATGAGGAAGGGAGAGCTCTTCACTGGAAAGGTAAGCTATTAAAAGTAGAAGAGACATCTTTTCCTAGCACTTCTCATGGGTGCTAAAACCCTCCATTCAAGACTGAGGTGGGGTGCCAGGTGGCTCACTCAGTTGAGGTCCAACTTCAGCTCAGGTCATGATCTCACGGGTTATGAGTTTGAGCCCCGCGTCAGGCTCTGTGCTGACAGCTCAGTCTGGAGCCTGTTTCAGATTCTGTTTCCCCCCTCTCTGCTCCTCCCCCACTTAGGCTCTGTTTCTCTGTCTCTCAAAAATAAACATTAAAAAATTTTTTTGAAAAGACTGAGGGGGAGCTTTCAGTAATTGGGTCAGACTGACAAGCACCCGAGCCTGCTGATCAATGTCAACCCCACTAAAGGGGAGACACACACGCCTGTGCCCCCTAACATGCTGTAGGAAGGATGCACACAACAGCCTCTGTGAAGTCTTCTCAGCAAAACAACTGGATCCAAAAGCAGACTTAAAGACCTAACTACCTTGACGGTAGATAAAGACACGAGTTAAATGACACCATGATAACAAATGCAGAATGTGAAAAACTCTCATCAGTTGACACTGGGCACAAGAAAAGGGAGGGAGAGGAGGCATAGTGATTATAGGCTAAAGGAGAGTGGAGACAAGAAACTGATCAACCCAATGCAGTGAGTATGTGACACCCATGTATACAGGTCCTGATTTGAACAAATCCACTGTAAAAAGGTGTTTGTGAGATAGTAACAGAAAAATGAACACAGTTCAGGCATAATATTAAGACATTGTTAATTTTACTAAATGAGATAGTGATATCATTGTGTTTTTGAAAGCCCTGATCTGTTAGTGATACATATTGAGAAGTATGTGTGAGTGAATTAATAGGATGTCTAGGTTTGCTTTAAAATGCCCTAGGAATAGGCACTCAGGTGGCTCAGTTGTTTAAGCGTCTGACTTCAGGTCAGGTAATGATCTTACAGTTTGTGAGTTAGAGCCCCACATCAGGGTCTGCATGTGCCTGTACAGAGGCTGCTTGAGATTCTCTCTCTCCCCCTGTCTTTCCACCCCTCCCCCATTTGTGCACACACATTCTTTCTCAAAAATAAATAATAAACTTAAGTAAACCATGGGCTCCTGCGTGGCCCAGTCGGTTGGGCATCCAGTTTCCGTTCAGGTCATGATCTCACGGCCTGTAAGTTCGTGCCCTGTGTCAGGCTCTGTACTGACAGCTCAGAGCCCCTGTGCTGACAGCTCAGAGCCTGGGGCCTGTTTTAGATTCCGTATCTCCCTCTCTCTCTCTTTGCCCTTCCCCCACTCATGCTCTCAAAAATAAATAAACATTTTAAAAAATCTTTTAATAAAATACTCCAGGGAAATGAAAAGGTGACCAAGTTGGGGTGGTGGGAGGTTGGAGACAGATGAAAAAATACTGGAAAAATGTTGATAATTGTTGAAGTTAAGTGCTGGGCACGTGGAGGGTCATTTATACTACTCTCTCTACTTTTGTATGTGTTTGGAATTTTCTGAAATGGTTTTTTTTTTATTTCTTTTTAATGTTTTTTTTTTTTTTTTTCTGAGAGAGACAGCATGAGCGAGGGAGGGGCAGAGAAAGGGAGACACAGAATCTGAAGCAGGCTCCAGGCTCTGAGCTGTCAGCACAGAGCCCGACGTGGGGCTCGAACCCACGAAACATGAGATCATGGCCTGAGCCGAAGCCGGACGCTTAACTGACTGAGCCACCCAGGAGCCCCAGAAATAAAGAGTTTTGATTGTGTTGTTTTTTGAATGCAGAAGTGTGCTCCAGAGGGCTCAGTTCTCATTCTCTAAGGAGCTCTAGGCCAGCAAGACTTGATCCGCGGGAGCTAAATTTGAGGCTCACACCTCCTCTTCTGCTTCATCTTGTGCTTCTCTTGTGGCCTTTCTGACCCCGTGCTTTTGGTTCTTCTTCACAATTCTGATCCTCCTGTTGCTCCTTTCACCTCCTGACCTCCTGCATCTTGAGACAGTGTCCTTGACCCCAGCTTTGCCTACTGACTGGCTCCAGCACCGTGGATGTTCAACTGTCAAGTGCAAAATCTCTCCTGATCCTAGAAGCCCTTGATGAGGAACACCAATGTTAGGGATTTAGAGGGAATAAACAGGTGTCCAGTTAACAGCGCCAAAGTTCAGGGGTGCCTGGGTGGCTCAGTCGGTGAAATGTCCTGTCGGACTCTTGATTTCGGCTCAGGTCATGAGTTCATGAGATTGAGCCATGCATCAGGCTCTGTGCTGACTGTGCGGAGCCTGCTTGGGATCCTCTGTCTTCCTCTCTCTGTCCTTCCCTCCCTCAAAATAAATAAATAGACGTTAAAAAAAAATGCTGAAGTTTAGGGTTCAAGTTAGGCTAATAGTAATGATTCTTCAAGGTCCTCCTAGATCCCATCTTCAGTAAAATAGTAAAAAACTTTTTCTTAAAGTTTATTTATTTGATGGGAGGAAGGGCAGAGGGAGAGAGAATCTCAAGACAGGGCTTGATCTCATAAACTGTGAAATCAGGTCCTGAGCCTAAATCAAGAGTCAGACACTTAACTGACTGAGCCATTTAAGTGCCCCAGAAATCTTCTTATAAAACTAAAATATTCTTAAACCAGTGTTATAGAAGATATCCTTTTTTAAAAGTTTGTTTGTTTGTTTGTTTTGAGAGAGAAAGAGAGAGAGAGAATTCCAAGCAGGCTCTGTGCTTTCAGCATAACAGGGGTTCGATCCCATGAACTGTGAGATTATGACCTGAGCCAGAATCAAGACTCAGACACTTAGCTGAGCCACCCAGGCACCTCTAGAAGATATCCTTTAACCATTATTCTATAATAGCTGAAGATTAAAAACTGAAACATTATTCTAAAACATGCCACTTTACTGTAACACTCACTGTATTACATGGAACATTAATTTATTATTTTGGTAGTCTTAAAAGAAGTTTATTTCTTACCAAAGAAATGCTCAGAATGTAGCAAGCTTGCTTAATTTTCATATTCATTTCTTATGGTCCTAAAAATAAGTAAAGAAATGTTACTCTAGGAAACTATTACTACTCTAGGAAAAAATTTTCTAAGTGAGCCAGAAGAAAATGGGCACAACCCAATGTTTTAGGGTTCCTCTAAACTATTAAACATACCCAATCAGTTTCTGGATTTGGGTACAGTATTTCTTTGAGTGAACCTTATGGTTTGTGGGCCTCTCTGCCACTGAACCACCAACCTCCTGAGAAAGATTCTGGGCTCACTGGAACTCAGGTCACACAGATGGGAGGGCTGTCCAGTTGGGCGGAATTCCTGTTCCTCAGTTTCCACAGGAAGACGTCAACTTTGCCACCTGTTTCCTTGCCCTCTCCAGCACCCTGGGCATTCATGCAGTACTCTGCCCCCATTCCGCACCTTCCTGGTTTCGACTTTCCTAAATCCTATTGTGAGGCCAGTGCAAGAAGCAATACTTGCACAACAGACCCTGTTGCAGGATATAACAGTCTATTTACTGACCAGCCCAGAGCTTAAGAACTCTTCTGTCTGAAGAATTATCTGTGCAGCCCTGTCATTCCTCCTGGAGCAATCCACAGTGGAAAATGCATTTCACTTCTTGGTCAAATACACATATACCCCCACACAGAAGTAACACTGGGTTTTTATTGTTCTGTTCCTAGTCCATTTTTACGTGTTTGGTCATAAATTCATTTCACTGCTTAAGAAGGAGTCACAAGCTGGATTGTGATTATTAGCAGAAAGCGACTGCTTGGAACATACTGTCTTAGCCCTCCCAGGATTGCTTTTACCAGGTTGTGTTTGGTGTTAAGCCCTCAGCAATCCTAGGAAACCTCTTTCTCCATTTTTTCCAGAGAGATTATTGTTTTGCTTAGTGCCATGTGGATGAGAACTTCCTCTGAGGCCTCAGGCCTACTAGGAAAAACTTCTCTTTAGAAACAGGTGTGTTTTCATCACACGAATAATGCAAATCATGTAACTGGTCAGATGTCAGTTTTGCTTTAGGTGCCAGGAAGTTCAATACGAAATGCATGGCGCTGTAGTGCAGGTTTTAATTGTCTTACGTATGCATTTTGTTCTTCACTTGTTCTGTACATTCTGGTCTAATTGTATTTAATTTATATTTTACTATATGTATTCAATCTCAAAACCGTTGTGTAAAGAATTGGAAAATCAATCCGCCAGCCTTCAGATGTCTCAGTCTCCTAGGCCATTCATAACAATGACAGATGCATCTACGGTCATGGTTAAACGTTATTGCTACCTTGACACACTTTCTCTGTAATTTGACTGCAGCAGGGCATATGACAATCCCATATGAGGAAAAAGTGTGAATGTAAGCAAAAACAAAAGTTTTTTTTCTTCGGAAACCTGGAATTATGAACTAGATAGAGCCAGATAGCTTGACTATATTACCAGGCCACTTGTACTTCTCATCATAGAAGGCCTCAGTGATCCTTGCAGAGGTGTGTGGTAGACACAGCAATGGCCACCCAAAGATGTCCTTGCCCTAGTCCTGGAGCATGGCAGCAGGGACTTTGGATCCCTTAATAAAATAAGATATCTAGGCACTTTAGGCAAAAGGGGCTTTGTAGATGTGATTAAATCAAGGACCTTGTGTGGAGATGGATGATTAAATCAAGGTCCTTGAAATGTGGAGTTGGATTATCCTGGTTTATCAGGATGGGCTCAATCTAATCTCATGCATCCAGCCACGTCTGAGAGAGATACGACCTTGAAGAATGTTAGAGATGGAACATTGCTGGCTTTGAGGATGAACCAAGGAGATCACAAACCAAGTGATGCGGATAGCCTTTAGAAGCTGGAAAATGTCCCCTAAAGCCCTCAGAAAGGAACACAGCCCTGCTGACAGTTTGACCTTAGCCAAATGAGATGGCCGCCAGACTTCTAACCTACAGAACTGAAAATTAATAAATCTGTGTTGTTTTAAGCCACTTAGGTTTATGGCTATTTGTTACAGCAATAATAAAAAGCTAATACAAGACGTGTTGATCTTATTTATTTATTTATTTTTTAGTTACTTGGTTTTCAGTGCCTTATAATATGTTAGGGCAAATTAATACATTATTAACTTGGAGCTATGTCCATAAATCTAAAACACATGGAGACAGTAGAGGGGTCCCAACCCAGGAAATCTTCCTCTGGAGGACTTCGTAACTGAGCAGTAACACCTGGTCTGAGGAAACCTCATCCAGCACAAGCAGCTAGCCGGCTTCTCCACCTCTCAGTGCCTGCGTCCACACAGCATGGAAAGCAGCTTTCCAAGAGGACTTCCTCTTCTACTCTGGTCAAGTGTATGTTTCTGTGAACAGGGCCAGACACAGCCCTCTGCCTAACTCAGTCCTACCCTGGGAGCCTGCTTCTTAGAGATCTTTGGCAAGGCCTCTCGCCACCGCCATACGTCTGCCTCTGCACCACGCACTCCGGTACACGTGGGCAGACCCCACAGGAAGGGAGTTGCTGGGGAGATGGGAGAGCAAGCCACTGCCCCTGTGGTCAGCCCTCAAGCACCCTGGGGTGAGGAGTGCTAGTTGGACTTTATTTCTTATCTCCACTTATGCGAGGGCTGTGATGTGATCTTAAAAAGTATTTATTTAAATATTTCACAACAAACTAATATAACAGATAGCCTTGTATTGTACCACCCAGGTAAAGAAATGAAATGTGAATATAGTTGAAAGCCCCCTGTGGCCCTCTCCAGCTGCATTTTCCTCCCCTCCACCCAGTGGTAACCATTCTCCTGAAGTTAGTGTTTACCTTGACCATGCATGTCTATTTCTTGCATACATCTATATCTTTAAACAATGCAGTATTGGGTTACATATCTTTTACTGTTTACATATCTTTTTTATTATACATCCTTTTCTAAGTTTTTTCCCTCAATCTCGTAACTGTAAGGTTCTTTTTTGGCGATTAGATGTAGCTGAATTTACCCATGTTCGCTCCTATGTAGTGTTTTAACATAAATAAATCATAGCTCACACTAGAACATTTCAGATATATCAAGTCTTTGTCCACATATCTTTGCAGAGTTAAAATCATACTGTATATAAACTGTTGAATTTTATTTTAATTAATATATCACACATATTTACATGCTACTATGCTATCCTTATAGATTATATATAATTCCCAATGGCTTTGTAATATTCCATAGAGTGAAAATACAATAATTTTTTAGCCAATCCCCCTTGTTGGATGTTTGGGTTCTTTCTCTTTTTATGGAGAGGCTTTTCCTTTGTGATTATTTCCTTGGAATAAATTACTGAAGAGGCATTACTGCTTTTGAAGCTATAAATATGCATGTGGATCTTTATGTACACAATCATTGGATTGTACAAGTGAATTTTCAAAAGACTTGAACTTTACCTTGCAGATATCAGTGTATTAATAGTACCATTTCATCAGAATCTTCCAGCATTAAATACTATCACTTGAAATGTTTCTAAACAATTGGCCTTTTAATTTATACTTGTAAGATGGAACATTTTTTAACATATTGCTTTTACACTTGTGTGGGGGGGGAGAGTCTCACCAGCAGATTTTAATATATGCAGAGTTTAACAATTCTCTTTTAACAGAGATTTTAACACATGAATTATATTTTTAAGGAATAATAATTGTGGTAGAATAAATAACATCTCACTATGTGCAGATTCCAAACTTCTTTCCAAGCCAAAGTCTTAAATCTGTTACTGTACATATTTCTGGGCCTGATACCCATCTAAAGATTTTTTTGCTTTTTCTTCAATTTAACTTGTCCCCAAATCTGATTTCTCTTCTATCTTCACCTAGTTATGGGGACTGACTAGGAAGGCTGGGAGGGGTGGGGAGCAGGGGGAGGGGGTGAGATTCTTACTGGCGTCAACAAAGGATGCCAAAATCAAAGGACTAAACAAGGCCAAAAACCATGCAGGAATGTCATGTGAAAGACCTAGAAGGGAAGCCACAAGAGTCATCAACCAGATAGTAGGATGGGGTGGGGGTGCAGTGGCACCAGGTACAGTACTTATGGATCCAGAAGTCTAGGGCCAGATAGAATAGAGCCAAGGGAAGCCTCTTCTCTATGGACCATCTGGTGAATGGGAGCTCTGTCATCTGTTTGACTCACAGTGGTCTAGATCTCCTGCCGTTTTAAGTCAAGTGCATAGTCGCTTCACTAATCTTCAGTTTCTCATCCTTCATTCACATCTACTTTCTTTTGGTGGAGACTTTGAGTGGGTTCAGGCTAGTGTTCAGCTCAGAAGTGTTACAGTGCCTCAGACATCAAGGAAAAGACACATTATACCTTTCATTGATATTATTCAAATATCACATTCAAGGTTATCTCATAATATCTTCCTTTACAAAAGAAAAATGTTGCCACCACTCCATCCTTTATTACTTAAATATTACTTTTAAGTAATACATTACTATTTTATTATATAATTACATAATTAATATGTAATTATTTATTTAATATTAATATTACATAATTATTAAATATTAATATTAATCATTACATAACTACATAATTAATATGTAATTAACTAATTACATATTAAAAAGGACTTTTTGGTATGCTTTCATGAAAATGTTTTAGACTTTTTCAATGATTCCATTCAAATACAGTCTTCTGATATTTTTTTAAAGTTTATGAGAGAGAGAGAAAGAGAGAGAGAATCCTGAGCAGGCTCTACACTCTTAGCACAGAGTCCAGTGTGGGACTCCATCTCATGAATTATGAGATCATGACCTGAGCTGAAATCAAGAGTTGGATGCTTAACCAACTAAGCCATTCAGGTATCCCTAAAATTTTTCTATTTTGAAATTTCTTTCAAAATTTAAAATTTGAGCTTTTAATGAAAAGACAAGCCATGGACTGGGAGAAATTTGCAAATCACAGGGCTTTTTTAAACATTTTTATTTTTGAGAGAGAGAGAGAGCACACAGGGGAGGAGCAGAGAGAGAGGGAGACAGAGGATCCAAAGTAGGCTCTGTGCAGAGTCTGATGTGGGTCTTGAACTCATGAACCAAGATATGGCCTGAGTTAAAGTCAGATGCATAACCAACTGAGCCACCCAGGTGCCCCACAAATCACAGATTTGATACAGGACATGTATCTAGAACATGTAAAGCACCAGGGCGCCTGAGTGGCTCAGTTGGTTAAGCATCTGACTTGGGCTCAGGTCATGATCTAACATTGGTGGGTTCCAGCCCCACTTCCATGCTGACAGTGTGGAACCTGCTTGAGATTCTCTTTCTCCCCTTCTCTCTCTGTGCCCCTCCAACTCATGCTTTCTTTCTCTCAAATAAACTTAAAAAAAAAAAAAACTTAAAAAAACATATGTAAAGCACTCTCAAAACTCTGTAAGAAGAAAATAACCCAATTTAAAAGGTGGGCAAAAAGATTTTAACAGGTGCTTCATTAAAAGGATAGATGGATAGCACATGAAAAGATACTCAACATCATTGAGATGTACATTAAAACTATAATGAATACCACTACATACCCTTTACTGAGGATTGATGAAGATGTGGAACACTACAAGTCTCATATGCAGTGGATGGGAATGTAAAATTGTACAGCACCTTTAGAAAACACTTAGGCAGTTTATTATTAAAAAGGTAAACATAGACCTGCCATTGGTCTACTCTTAGGTATTTACCCAAGATAAATGGAAGCATATGTTCATACAAAGATCTGGACATGAAAGTTCCTAGCAGGAACTTTATAATCAAAAACTGAAAGCAACTCAAATGTCTATCAACAGATGTATGGATAAACAAATTGTGGTATGTCCACATTATGGAGTACTACTCAGCAAGGAAAAAGGGATGGATTACTGAATACACATGCAACCTAGAGGAATCTCAAAATTGTGTGGAGTGAGAAGAGCCAGGCCAGAGTAAATACTGTTTGCTTATATTCTATAAAACTAGAAAATACAGACCAATCAATAGTGACAGAAAGCAGATTGGTATTTTCTGGGGGTTCACACAGAGTATGAGAGTCAGGGAAGACAGGCAGACAAGAAAGAGGAATTACCAAGAGGCAAGAAGAGAGGCAGTGACGGATATGTTCATTATATTGATTGCAGTGATGGTTTCATAGTTATATACATATGTGAAAACTTATCAAAGTGTACTTTTTAAGTATGTCTAATTTAGGGGAACCCAGGTAGCTTAGTCAATTAAGCGTCCGATTCTTGATCTAGGCTCAGGTCAGGGTCTCATGCTTCGTGGGATCAAATGCCATGTCAGGCTCTGGACTGATAGCATGGTGCCTTCTTGGGGTTCTCTTTCTCTCTGCCCTTATCCCTATCACGCATGCACATGCTCTCTGTCTTTCTCTCAAAATGAGTAGACAAATTTTAATGAAAATAAGTGCTATTTATCATATGTCAGTAATACTCTTAAAGCAGTTAAACTTTACACACTTCAGCAGAAACTTACAATTTTGATTCCTTTTCACTGTAATCCAAAATACTGCTTTATAAGAGTTATTCCTTTATCTCCAAAACAAATATTCTTTAAGGAATATTTTGCTCTTATTTCTTTGATCTGAGGTTAGCAAATTTAAAAGATTCAATCTGAAGATTTAAAAGGGTTATTACTTTCATCTTGAAAGCCATTGAAGAGGGTGCCTGGGTGGCTCAGTTGGTTAAGCATCCAACTTTGGCTCAGGTCATGATCTCACGGTTTGTGAGTTTGAGCTCCACATCAGGCTCTGTGCTGACAGCTCAAAGCCTGGAGCCTGCTTCCGATTCTGTGTCTCCCTCTCTCTCTACCCTTCCCCTGCTCACACTCTGTCCCTCTCTCTCCCAAAAGTAAATAAACATTTTAAAAAATTAAAAAGAAAATGAAAGCCATTAAAGAAATCCAAAGCATACCATAAAGTCTATACTGAAAAAGAGTGAGGAATTCTGCATTGCTTTAGTAAGAGATCATGAGATACACGAAGCTCCAGGTGAAGAGTGCAGGGAAGGAATAGAATGGGAAA